TTTTAGTTGACATTTTCTTGATTTTATTAATTGAAAACAATACTTCAATGTAGGATGGCGGTAGATTGTATCACATAATACGCAAACAACGGTTACAACAGTAACATTCATTGGTTGAATATTAATGTGACAAACACTACCATATCCAATTTACTTTAGAATACTCATCAATTCAACGATAATCTGGTAGAATATTTATAATTCAAGACGTCGGTGTTCATTACTGAATAACAAAACAACTGATACAGAGAGTATTTCCAAGTAGTAATACAACACAATAAGACATTAGCATTAATTTTATTGATTGAAACAAATACTTCAATATAGGATAGTGGAGGATATTATCACATAATACGCAAACAACGGTTACAACAGTAACATTCATTGGATGAATATTAATGTGACAAACACTACCATATCCAATTTACTTTTGAATACACATCAATTCAACGACAATTTGGTAGAATATTTAGAATTCAAAACATCAGCAGATTGAATATTTATAAATCAAGACATCGGTGATCATTATTGAATATAAAAACAACTGATACAGAAAGTAATTCCAAGTAGTAATACAACAGAGTACTGAGATGATCTAACACTACTTTAGGTGAAATTTTCCTTGATTTTATTAATTGAAACAAATAGTTCAACTTGGCATAATGGTAGATTATATCCCATAATACGCAAACAACGGTTACAACAGTAACATTCATTATTTGAATATTAATGTGACAAACACTACTATATCCAATTTACTTTTGAATACACAACAATGCAACGACAATTTGGTAGAATATTTAGAATTCAAGACATCAGTAAATGGAATATTAAATAAAACGACATCCGAGATCATTAGGGAATATCAAAACAACTGATACAGAAGGTACCTCCAAGTAGAAATACGAGTACAACACAATTAGTAATAGAAGACATTGGTATTCATTAAGTACCGAATATCAAAACGATTGATACAGAAACTACTTCCAAGTGGTAATAGGATGTTGTACGAACACTATAGTTTAGTTTTTTTTACATTTTTAGTTGAATTGAAAACAATACTTCAATGAAGGATGGCGGTAGGTTGTATCACATAATACGCAAACAACGGTTACAACAGTAACATTCATTATCATTATATTTCGTCGCTTCATTCTTCAGATATTAATTTTACCATGTGATGGGAGGGCCCTTGCGTAAGCCACCACGCACGTCTTTAGAATTTTTTTTTTGTCGGTACTTTTATTTCTTCGTCACTTCGCCTAGATATTTTACTCATTCCTTTTTCGTGCGTTGCACTGAACGGACGTCTTTTAAAATATACATAATTACGATGCCGAAAAGAAACGCACAGGAAAAGATAGTGTACTACCAGAATAAAATAAAGAAATTAAAAGAAAAACGAACTCGACGGTTAAGAGTCATCGCTTCGGATTCGGACCAAGAGCCATGTAAGTTTTATTAAATACTTATGTACAGAATAAAACATTCCTTTAAATATGCTGGACATTGTCCGTGATGATAACACAAAGGCAATAACACTTGGAGGTTATCCGCGATGATAACACGAAGGCAAAAACACCTGGAGGTTAACCGCGACAATAACACGAAGGTAATAACACCTGGAGGTGGTCCGTGTATGACAACACGTGGTAATTTAACTGTACAAAGTTCGAGGTTGACCGTGAGGATAATACGTGGCACTTTAATTTTTTAAGGTTATACCTATTTATCAGTAATAAAGTATATAGAATATTAATGTATAAACCTGGAGGATAACCGAGACGTTAGCACGATGGTATACGCATAAATAACATACACTGCAAGTTTTATAAATATATAGATATTTAAGAATATAACACATTTATATTTGAAATACCTGGAGGTTATTCGAGATAATAACACAAAGGTAATATAGAACATTGATAGTATTCACTAAGTGTGGTTTATATCATTTCAGGTTTAGACCTGGAAACAGGCTATTTCTGCTTCGCAGCCCGTATTAGATACGGGGAAACAGTATCTCCAAATGAATTAGACACTGGCGAAATAGAACCAGACCTACCCACCATCAGCAACAGTGTAATACCTGTTACTGACCCAGTTACACCCGTGGATATCCCAGTTCTGGATCCAAGCATTCTAGCAGCTCTGGGTGAAATCACCGATGAAACGCCAGAATTTGGAGAAAAAATTCACGATAATCTCGCAAAAATATGGCTGCCATTGTTGAAAAAAGGTATGTCAAAAGATAATAGAGAGGCACTGACTAAAAGGTACCTTGTGCCTGAAAATTGTACATTTCTACAGGCACCGGCTCTTAATCCAGAGATCCTGGCAGCAATACCAGATTCAGGAAAATACCGCGACAAGAAGATGACCTTTTGTCAGCAACAGTTAGGAGTAGGTATTACTGCAGTTAACAGAGGTCTAGACTTACTAATAAACAGTGGAAGTAATGTCGAGGCCATTAAAAGCATTAGCGACGGATGTCGCATCCTATGTGACCTACACTACCAAAATACTGAAACAAGAAAATAATTTATAACACCTTCTCTGGAAAAATCATTTTTACAAATTGTAGAAAAATCTGAAAGAGACAGCAGTTTGTTTGGAACCGATCTATCAGAAAAAATATAAGCTGCCAAAGCCATTAAAAAAGAGGAATCATTGCCACCCATTACACAAACATCTTACGCTGGCTGCGGCGATACTCTCCGGGAAGCATTCCTCAGGCGAAAAATCCCAGCCGAGTCGGTGAATCTCATGCTAGCATCACTTTCTGACAGTACAAGAAAGCAATATAATACATCATATAAACTTTGGTGGAAATTCTGTCATAACAATCATTTTAATACATTTGAAAGGACTGTACCTGTGGTTATCTCATTTTTAACAGAACAGTTTAATAATGGAGCGACATACGGATCTCTAAACTCTCACAGACCCGCACTTTCTCTATTATTGGGCAATAACATTGGTTCTGATGAATGCATTAAGCGTCTCTTGAAAGGGGCTTATAGGTTAAAACCCAGTAAACCAAAATATAATTACACATGGGATCCTCAATTAGTCCTAAACCATATTTCAGAATGGTATCCGAATAAAAATATTGAACTCGCACAACTAACTAAAAAATTAGTCATGCTTCTTCAGCACAAAGAGTCCAAACTCTTTCTCTTATCAAAATAAACAACATACAAATTTCATTAAACGGAATAAGAATTGTCATAAGTGATATAGTAAAAACTTCGGCCCCTGGAAGAAAACAACCAGTACTTATCCTTCCTTATTTCACAGAAAATAAAAGAATCTGTCCAACTACAGTACTTTCAGATTATTTATTTCTTACGAAAAATCTAAGAGATACAAATGAGTCAAGGTTAATTCTTACAATCAACCGCCACGGCTCAAACAATTAGTAGGTGGATTAAAACAGTTTTATCAGAAAGTGGTACAGATACATCAATATTCACGGGACACAGTACACGACACGCATCAACCTCCTCTGCTAGCTCTGCTGGTGTCTGTATTGACACAATACGAAAAACAGCAGGTTGGCCGAACCAATCACAGACATTTGCTAGGTTTTATAAACTTAATATAATTAATGAAAGCGAATTTGCTAACTACACATGTTTAAAAAATGCATATGATCCAATCAGAAATTGATTACGAATAAATTACTGTTTTTCAATATTTTTTGTTAAATGAAAACGAAGAAAACTTATGTACTTAGTAATGTCTTAAGAATTATTTTGTAATAAATATAATTATCAAAAATAAAATACTTATTATTTATTCTAAGTTATTTACAAAACTCCATCTCTTAACATCGACTCATATAATAATGATCGAACTTCACTTAGAAGCTCGTTTGATCATATATTATATTTCGTCGCTTCATTCTTCAGATATTAATTTTACCATGTAGTCCCCCTCCCTTGCGTAAGCCACCACGCACGTCTTTAGAAAGTTTTTTTTTGTCGGTACTTTTATTTCTTCGTCACTTCGCCTAGATATTTTACTCATTTATTTTAGAGATGAATTTAACTTTAGTTGTTTGCAAACTCACTGGGTTTTTAGGGTGGGTGCGTATACAATATATCTTCGAATGAAGCGACTCATATAATATTGATCGAACTTCACTTAGAAGCTCGTTTGATCATATATTGGTTGAATATTAATGTGACAAACACTACCATATCCAATTTACTTTTGAATACACATCAATTCAACAACAATTATATACAACATTTATAATTAAAGACGTCAGTGTCCACTTCATATAAAAATTGTATTTGAATTCCGGATATCAGTAAATAACGTGGCCGAACATAAAAACAATGATAACATCTTCGTTCATCTGCAGATAACTAATGTTATAACTCCTTATGACATTAACAATCTCTGAATGATAACTCCGTTAGAAAAGATCCTGATTGAAAAAGATGTAAATTCCGCGGGATTAACCAGCGAATGACAGATAGTAGTGATTAAAAAATAAGTAGATATTCAAATACCAACTCCTTTTAATAACTAGTGATACGAGATATCGTATACTGACTGACTCAATCCTCCGTTGCCATTCCCAACGATTGCACTGTCATACTTCCAGACCCTGTAATTTGATTGCCATATCTTAACTTTCAACATAACTTACTAAGCAAGTGACGACCTTGGTGGTGTAGCGGTTTAGCAAACCGCTTCACTTCTGGGAGACAGTGGATTGTTAAGAATGTGGATTGGTGATCATATTGCTAACTATGTACCATGTCAGGTTAACATCCGACGCGCTTTCCTCTGGAAATCATCATGATAAATTCTTGGTGAATTTGTCACGATGGGCCAACGGACCTGACCTCATGCTCATCTTATCATCCTCCTCCACTGGTGCCCCGCCAGCGTAATCCGTTACCGGGTGCACCATGTAGGTAGTATGGCGACAAAAATATTCACGTAGACGTTTTTGTAAAAAATCTAGTATCAATACAACAACATAATAATTAACATGTATTATTGAAATTATTATATATACATATATGTAGACTTTACAAAACCTTTTTACTTTCAGTAGAAATTTCATCCGATATTAACTTATTATTTGTTATATTTTCTATACTTTTTGACACATCATCTATTTCCTGTGTTCCATTTGTCTCCTTATCATCACCATCATCATCATCATCATCATCATCGTCATCCAACTCTTTGTCTTCTGTCTCTTTCTCACTGGGAACGTCATCTGACGGCTCATAGGAATGTAAATTGAGTTTCTCCAACCAGTTGCCTATTGAATTGTCTTCTATCTCACCTTTTACTATATTAGGGTATATGTGATCAAGTTTGAATTTTTGTACTGCTTCATCCTCTGCCTCCCAAGTTAGACTGTCATGGCTAGTTTTATAACGAGCATCATATCTATCGTAATGCACCTAAAAAATAAACAATAAGATAATAATAATATCTCAGAATTAATTTTTTTAGATAATTATTTTGTGAATATGTATATACATAGGGAACACATATATGAATACAAAAAAATATATAAAGGCGAGGTGAGAGAAACTGTTATCATATCTCAAATCTTGCTCTCATCTCAAAGCAAAATATGGCTCGCTCAGCAGCTTTGTTTCAAAACTCTCGAATACTAGGGTACTAGTATATAGAGGTACTATTGTATTATGTAATATAATATGATTACTCACCATGTCAAGTACTAAACCCAGACCAGGCGCAGTGGGTATCATCACCTTTTCCTTGCCGAATGCCCGCTCCAAGGTACACATGTTGGTGTGTCCCCTCACCACAGCTATCATCAGCCCCACCATTTTACGAATCTGATGCAGCATGAAGCTTTGACCCTGCATTCAATTAGTTTATTTCTTTGATGGATGAATAGAATATTTTTTTATACGTGACAAACTAGCTTGCCGCTCATCTCCTGTTACCAGGAATTGACCACGATATATGTGGGTAAGAGAAGTAGGCATTATGTCATCTCTATCGCACGCAGCTGGCGTCATTCGGCTATTGACACTGTTATGTATTTGAGAGCCGATAATTAGAAAGAAAAATACAGTGCTTATTGCTTGAAGAGTAGATAGGGCAGTACTAGTCCGCAGGCGCAGTAGTAATAGGCACAGTAGTCCTTAAGGATGGCAACATACTTGGAGCTGTTGTTCATGTACACAATTACTACTTTCCATTCAATTTACATAAAAAAATACTCACCTTAACTAATAAAACTGCAAATTCCATATCTGTATGTACGAATACTCTGTCAATGCTAAAATTCATCATATATCTCAACGCCGACGGGTCTTGGAAGTGTCTGCAATACAAGATTAATTGCGATTTTATTGTAAAGTGAAATATAGGCATGTCAAGTGTTGCGAATTACTAATATTGCTCATAAGTTTCTAATATTGCACTAACTGTAAAAAATATATAAATTATGATGAGACTTTTACTGTCCTAGATGTTCTTAATCCGTTCAGTAGTTTTTCGTGAAAGAGTAATAAACATCCATACTTACAAAGCTTTGCTTTTATATTATTAAGATTAAGATAAAATATAAAACATTTACTTACTTTTTTTCTGTGAAGTTGTGATAACTTTTGGTTCCTTTATATACACTTAAAACACTATTAACTTTTTCCAATTTTTCCGCAGGTATTCTATACAGCTTTCTCTCGTCCACACTCACTAGACTGGGTTCAAACACATATGTGGGAAGAGTGAAGCTATATGTTCGTGCGTTACATTTCGATTTTGAATTAAACTTGTTCGTAACACGTTTTACAGCAAATACCCTTATACATTCTGGTAATTTCTTGTTAACATCGTCAATGTTTATTTCTAAAGCTGTAAATACAATTATAATTAGAATATTTTATATAATTATGTTATTTATTATTTATTACTTACAACTGATATGTTCATGGTCCACTTAATGTTTCTTTTTACAACTTAGATGGCAATCAAGCATACAGCCTAACTGTTGGTAACCGTTATTTACAGGGGCGGATCGTGAATTTGTGGGGCCCTGGGCTAAATTTACTTGGGTAGGCCCAATTACTCAAATAAACAATACACTGACCAAAAACAGGCGACTAGAAATTCCCCATTCATTTCGATAGGCACCATTAATTGATCTCAGGGTTGCCAACCTTGATAGGTTTTTTAACGTTCTAGATTTTTTTTTATATTCTAAATATTGTTTCAGACGGGACTTGGGGCCCTGGGCTGCAGCCTAAAAAGCCCATAGGTAGAACTGCCCCTGGTTAGTTAGCCCATTGTGACAAATTTACTAAAACATTATCATGATGGCTTCTAGGGGGAATCGCGTGGATGTCAACCTGACTTGGAGCATTCCTAGAAGTATGGTCCACATTTAGTCTAGTATACCATGAATCCACCGTACACCGTACACCACAGTTCCCGGGTTTTGTGACCAGACATAGGTTTAAGAGAAAGAGAGAAGAGAAGATACTAAATTTATTACAAGAAAATACTAACGTAGTTTCAAAGACACAACCTGTCTGGCAGCAGAGACACCTTTGTCAGTCCGTGAACTCCTCTGGAACTGTACATTTTGTTGGTTATTGAAGTCCTCTTCTGTAATATTCTTAGTTTCTAATAGTGCTTTCAGTAAATCTTCCTCAATCGTTCTAACACCTGGGTTTCTATGAATAAGACAAAAAAAAAATTTTTTTGCAAAAAAAAATTTTGTATGTATATCGTTGCGACAATCCAGACAGACATAGAGGCTGTTGTATATCATATATTAAACACGAAAATTCAAAAATTACTAGAATGGGAACATAAACAACTAAACCTTAAACACTTTTTAAAATTGGAGTCATAAGGAGTTGTAGTTGGAGTGTAGTATATTTGGAGTGGATAAACCAAAATCCAAAAAATGCAAATTTTACATTCTGTAGCACCAATTTTAGTTACCTTTGCATTCCATAATAATCCACCCCACAGTATCCCAATAACATTGCCATTTTTTTCCTCTTTATCCTCTCAGAGGTTTTCTCACACAGCTTCTTTTCGTCTGTCTGTCCGTCTACTTTCTTACTCACAGCCAACTCCTCCCACTGCCGTTTCATGTGGCGTCTCTTAAACCTCGTCTGACTTTTGCTGTGTACTATCTCAGTAGCTTCATCATTTGGTGCATCTGTTTTTTCTGGTGTGGCTACATCCATGGCTGTTACGAAACGGTACTGTACACCTAATGACATAAAAAAAAAACATGATAAGACACAATGAATCAGGTGCACCAGCTTGCGATAATGGTTTATGCTGACATAGCACCAGTTTTTTTTATGGATGATAATGGAATGGTGCTCCCGCCTGCGCTAACTGCTTACGATGATGGGGCACCAGTGGAGGATGATAAGATGAACATGAGGTCAGGTCAGTTAGCCCATTGTGACAAATTCACCAAGAATTTATCACAATGGTTTCCAGGGGGAACTGCATGGAGGTCAACCTGACATAGTACAATACTAGCAATAAGATCATCAGTTGACATTACTAACAATCCCCTTTCCCCCCACATAGCACCCGTTGTGGATGATAATATATATGGTCAGGTGAGTTGCCCCATTATGATAAATTTACCAGGAATTTATCATTATGGTTTCCAGGCTTAGGGATAGGGTTTGATATCCATATATCAACCTGAAATGGTTTGGGGCTAGCAATGGGGTTGTTAGTCCTCATTTGAAACATACAAGTACATACATAAAATAAATAGAATGTCAAAATAAAGTCAATAAAATAAATATTAGTTTCTTAGTATAAAGGCCTGCAAAATGAAGGATGAAAGTAGACTATTTTTACATATTTTTTAGAAAATCATGTAGTGTCACAAACTATATAATTTTCTAAATATTGGAAAAACAAAATCTTGTCAAAATATTGAGAATTCAACAAAAAAAATGTAGTAAGATGCCATAGTTTTCTTAATGTTACATGTAGGACTTGAAGACATGACATGAAGTACTTTAGTCGTGATCTAGTTTAGTCGTTTGGAAGTAAGTGCAATATGTAAGGAACATGTGACAAGAAAGTATACGAAAATAACTTAAAATAAAATCAACAGACAGTCAGGGTGGAGGGGTATGTTATTCATGGGGTCCAATATTAAGCATTGTACCTAATAACTCGTCCCCCACGCGGTCTCCTTGTCAACTATCGTGATTAATTTCTGGTGAATTCGCCACAATCGGCTATTTGATCTGACTTCAAGTTCATCACATTAACATCCACTGGTACTGCGCGAATATATGCCATATACGAGTGCCATCATCAATCGAAAAAACACCCGACACTTATGAACCAGGTGAACGAATGTCCGGTATTCTGTTACGAATTTTCGAGGTTATGTTATAATTGAATGACAAACGGTATTACATTTCTGTGTTAATTACGTTATAAAAACAAAATATAAGAAAGTTACAAAAATTAAAATTACAATTTTTTTTTTATCCCCGACACAAAAACAACGTGTGAAATATTGATTTGAACTGGAAAGTACCTGATTTAATTGCATGTCTTGGCAGGTTCTTTCCAAAAGTGTTAAGCAATAGTTTGAATATTGTAACTGACATACCTATTACAGTAATAATGACACAAATAATCGAAATTAACAGAAATAAAATACATACACTAATATTCAATTAAACTCCTTACAAATGAACAAAATCACTATACTATAGGATAGTAGGAGTGTTAATCAGTGTTGCCACATTCGTAATACCCCTATTACTCTGTATACATTTGCAATTTATTGATTTCATATGTTCAATGATTTTATGGCTCTGGGTACTTGAGGAAATAAGAAATTTCAAATAAATGAAACATGACTTCGTTATTATGAATAATAGTGAATAATTTTAATAATTTATTACCTATCTTACCTACTACCTACTAAGTAAGATAAGTAATAAATTGTTACTTACTGCCTTTTATTATTATTTTCGGTTTTAACTTAAGCGTAGATGGGAATCTATCTCTTTCATTGTTAATAGCCCAACATGTCAAGACGGTCTCCACGGGGTCTCCCCTGGAAACGATCGTAATTATAAATTAAAGTAAAAAATATATTATTTTTTAAACAAATTCATCATAATAGCTCAGTAATGTTTATATGTATATACTAACATTAAACATTACAAAGAATTGTTTATTGTGCACCTCAATAGTTTTTAAGATTTTAAAAATTCCATATTCAAAAAATGTCCACATAATCAGGGAGTACCATGGGGTACATACACTTGACAGGATGGATGAATAAATAGAATTCTTTTCTAATTTTCGAATCTTCTTAGTTTGGAACATTTTCGTTGTAACAAAGGAGTAGGTACCTACCTGCCTATATCTTAAGTTGGTAAATTAGGTCAACTTGTCTGTTTGCTGAAGTATTAATGAAACCGACTTATGAGCGAATACCTACGGTCCATTGAGAATATATACATACCTTGCTTAGCATATAACAAACCATCCGAGTCAATGAACAACTACCGCGCATGTACCTACAATGCGCATGTCTGAACTCTCGGCACCGCATATTTAGTATAAGACACACATCATGGGGTGACGCATTGCTTGTAAAAAATGAAGGGTGGAAGTTCAGAACGGTTGGTGAGATCTTCTCGGCGTAGAGGGGAAACGCGAGCCAAACTTACCAGATACATAACTGTGACGTTAGCTGCTCTTTTGGGTGGCGGCGGATCTGCATTGCTGTTCCTCGTTCCTCTGTATGCTGACCCAGCGCTTAGTGCCCTCGCTGCAGACTTTGACCCAGTACCAGCCGAGTGCATCACAGAGAGGCGTGACGATAGACTCGGCCTCGACAACTGTACCTGGGCGTCATGCAGAGAAGGTTGCACCAGTGACGCGTATAAATGCATTCAGCTGCACGTCAAATATAAAGCCCATACTGAGGACTGGCGTCCGGCCGTGTTATTTGTCAATATAAAGGGGTGTGGATACCCGCCCACTGTGGATTGCGATAATTTTACCACCAGTTACGGGTTTGTTGGGGCCAAGTACCCTTGTTACTGGTCAAGAGCTGACACCAGTGTGGTGATACCTAGGTGGTCGCGTGGGGAACAGGTTGCAACTGTGACCAGGACCCTGGCATTGCCTCTGTTTCTATCTGGATGCGCTGGGATTGGATTGTGCGCTCTGCATTGCGAATGCAGACCTCGAAGGAGGCGGCGCCCCCCACGCCGTCCCCCTCGTTTGCCTACGTTGTCACCCGACGACACTTCGGTCTACAGGCTAGCTTAGGCTCACCGTAAGGTCCAATAGAGCTGTAACTATTTTAATACAACGTATATTAAGTACATATTAAAATTATAACGAGGATTAATGTAAATAAAATGGATATATTTGTGTTCAATTGTGGTTTTATTTGGAGTGCCGTATGTTGATTGGGTCAACACAATTTAGTTAAATAGAGGTTTTGTTCCACGAACAAACAAAAAAGGTGTCTTTAATAGACATACCTCAGCCTACTTTAGAGATAGATAGCGATATGTGAATGTCCTTGGTTATTATTGTCATGAATTTTGTAGGATGTAGCAAACATGCTACAAAATTCAATATAATCAGACAATTTCACATTAACAATTGCGAACCGTAAATGTTATCAGGTTCTCTCAAATTATAATAGGTTTGACGTAACAATTGGAAATTGTTACTACAGTAATCATTATATAGTGTAAAAGAAACTTGCTCTCGCTGTCTGTCCGTCCCTATGTATGCTTAAAACTTTAAACTACGCTACAGATTTTGAAGCGGTTTTTTTTAATGAGTGATTCAAGATAAAGGTTTATATGTATAACACATGTACAACCGGGCGAAGCCAGGGCGAGTAGCTAGTTAGAAAGAAAAGTAAAAAAAAAGTAGCTAGTTAAAAAAAAATAGACCTCATAGGATGCAGAAGTTATTGGGCTGGGATCGAACTTGAGACTATCGTAAAGAGTTATATATGGTACAGCATTAGAGTCTGCTTTTAATATGTACAAATAATCAATTTTCATTCAGTAACATTCCGCTAAAGTTTGTCGGGAATTCGTAGTATGTAACTACGAAAGTATAATGAAATATAGCAATAAAAAACATTTGAATGGCGTAGAAACATTTATTTTAGGTTTATAATGCGGTTTTAATATTAATTTAGAGTACAAAATTACATATTCCTTCAGTCCTATATTTACTGAAGCATTCAGTCTTCGTTCATACATTTACCTCTTTTCGTATATACTCTTATAACCCACTCATTTTAAGATGACGAACCGATCTTTAAGATTTTGTAAGAAACAACACTAATTTATCCCAGATGGGGTGATCTCATACATCAAATGTCGACGTCTTTATGAATACATCTTTTTACATGCTCACATATCAATAGGTATATTGGAATCCAACAAAGGTGGATCCAAAATCCTTGAAAGGTCGCAAGATTAACAGTCTTTCGGATTAATTAGATTTGTTATCGGTGTTTCCATCACCAGAGTCAGAATTATATATATATTTTTATAAATGTCTATCTATAGTCCAAGTCTAAATAACTATCACCAACATGCCATATCTATTTGCATAACTTATGTTGAAAATTTTATGTGCACATATTTGTGTAATATTTCTCAAACATTACACAAACTTCACAAGTCGGCTCGCCACGATATTATGAACGGGCTGTAGTCTATAAACCTCTGTAAGATACCGTTATACATGAACAATTTTATATTATTTCCGTATTATAATTTTAATAAACATTCCTTTTACCTCTCGAAATAACAATTTCCGGATATTAAACATGTAATTGAGTAACTTTTCAAGCATTTCAGATATATCTATCAATTTTTATAACAGTTTTTGCATATTAACAGTCTTACAGAAAACGATACTAAAAGGGTAATGATTATAATATTCATAAGTATACAGGCATATATTTAAAAAATGAGGCAAATACATACATATACCAGTGGTAATAGGAAGCTCTAGGTTCTAAGTATTACAGAAATACTGTTTGCTTATTTTTTATTCTAACAATTTTTTTGACTTTTCAACAAAGATGATTTTCTAAAAAAACTTGGTGTCTATTACAAAAGCATGCTATAATTGTGGTATATAAAGGTAAAGTATAAATATTTTAATGTAACATTCAAGTTCCTTTTTTAAATTTACAATGTTGTCTTTTAGAAACATATACTCCTAAGAATCATAGACAAAATGGTAACTAATTTTATTAACATAGTAAACTAGAATTTTGGTGATTTGAAACATTATCAACCTTTTACATTCAACAATAAAAAAATATATAAAAAAAAAGTAAAACGCGACCCATATAAAACCCGCTTACAAAGTGAATCACGCGTAATACCTATTACAAAATAAGTGAAAATGGAACGGAATCTTTAATTAACAAAAAAATAAATAACAGGGCTTCGAGTAAAACATGAGCAATATAATTTAATCTAAAAAGATTCTATTCCAAATCTCACGATAACATAGAATATTCATTATTAACACTTTAACTGTTGTAAACTCGTAAGGCGAGTTGAGTCATCTACATTGCACCTTGACTTACGTATCGTGGTGCGAGCTAAACGGTCAGGCAAGTCGATGTATATCAATAAGTTATTATTCTCCGCCAGTGTTGCCAATCCTACAGTTTTAACTGTGAATATACAATTGAAATTCAACAAAAGTAAAGCTGAAACGAAAAATCAAGAAGACTTACAAATTGAAGATGAGATAATAGCTAGTGATACAATCTAACATTGTAACATTGTGATTTATTATTTTGATATTTAATTTGATTAAAACTATATGCTGAGGTTGGCAACACCATTCTTACATGAGTACAATTCTGATTCCATACATTATGAGTTAAACCAGATGGTTTCTACAAATTCGCTCACCAGTTAAAGTGTCAAATTTCGGCTTTTTTAAACTAGGACCACGCCGCCGTTTAATAAAGCCGAGAAATAAAATTACAAACAAGGAACAATAAATTAAAACAAGATCGTGTTCACAACCATATCTCCGTCCAGAATTGAACTACATTCAAGTTAAATAGATAAATAAATCTAGAATTATCCTAATTAATACGCTATTTCGGATAAAGTATTAAAAATAAAAGAATCAAGGTGATGTATGATATAATTACTTGATTAGTAACAGCACAATATGTAAAATCATGAGTAGTCACATTGGACGCCATTTTGTGTACGTGTAAACGTTCACAAAATGGAGGACATAAAGTGACATCTGTTTTTCAGAATTTGAGCAAATTTTTACCATTTGATGGCATAATCGCGTTGAGATAAGTATTTACTAAAAAAAACAAAGAGCTAACACAGTATGGTCATGATTTTACAAATATTAATACGTCGAAATAATTCTATATATTCGGAACTAAATTAGTTACAATTGTAGATAAACAACGCAAGTTGATATTTATTCGTGTCTAAAAAGACTTCATAGGCTACGGTAACCATCAGATGGCCCGTATGTTAGTTTACCACCATCGCAGTATAAAAAAAAATGTAGAACAGAAGACAGTAATGTCGTTATATACAATAACAAACAGTGTTGTTTTCGTATAATTCATCAACTTACGTCGCCAATTCGAACTTATAACAGTAATTGTAAAAACCCGTATCTATAACAGAACTAATATCGTTTAAAAAACCTAATTTGATACAAGCCTTTCACCATTTTAGCGTCATCAAGACATCACCGTAATACAAAAATAAATATAACAAATGACTGTCTAAATGTATTTTGGGAATCATCAACATGCAGCATCTAAAGCAGTCAAGATCACCAACAACCACATACTAGAAATGCCGTTTTTTATATGAATATGTAAAGTTTAAAACATTTTTTAATGTAACTCGAATAGCAAACATGCTGTTCCACCTGATGATAGCGGTAACCGTCGCCTTTTTTATAGTATAAGAGACAAACGGGTTTGCGTCTCACCTTATAGTAAGTGATTACCCCTGCCTATGAGTCCTCGCAACACCAGGAGAATTGCAAGTGTGTTGCCAGGCTTTTAAGAAGGAATAGGCTTTTTTCTTGAAGTTAGTTGTATCGATTCGGAAATACCATTGTTGGAAAGTGGATTCGAAATGAAAATAACATGAATAGCATCACAGCCATCACGTTATCACGTGACACAAGTTACACCATGCATGTGTCGCCATTCTAGAGGACTGAGACTTTGTCTATTATTCTGTAATTTCACAGCCTAATAGTACCCTACAACCGAAGCAGCTTGCAAAGAAAGTTGCTTGGCGGCTGAAATAGGCGAAACATTTGTAATAAATAAATTACATATTCATATAGAGCGTAGACTTTGTTAATACAATGGATGCCTACAAAGTACCGAATCACAGCTAGCTGAGTGTCAATTGTAACAATATTATGTGGGTGTCAGTATACCTTATTTATTTATCAATCCATATACTATATCAAATTTACCCCAAGGATTTTATTTATAAATAAAATATTTTATTTATTATTTATAGATAAATGTACACAAAACTGTATAATTTTATTTACTGATGTCATATCACACTCGTTCACATTAAGAATTTAATATGAAAGAAAGGGACGACAATCTATAATAATTTTATTAATTAATTAGTTAATTATATAAATTAGTACCTTGGAAAAATTACAGATAATATATGAACTGACGTAAATTTCATTAGTCTATTCCACCACTAAAACATACTATGCAGAGTAATATAAATATTAAATATTTTTTACAAAATCGTTTCCTCAATAACATGTATTACATGTTACATGTTAAATAAAAAATGTTTTTAGAATTGCGTCAAATACTAACATTATTTATTTATTTGTGAAAAAGGATATTATTGATATATTATAGAAAAAGTAATTACTTATCAAATATATATATTTAATTCACAGGCACAGAAGCATCATGTACCGTAATTTTACTGATATTTCTTTAAATATTTATATGTAGACAGATTATGATAAAGTGGTGAAACAGTGGATATTTTTTTTTCTAAAATCATTTATAAATATAGCATTCGTTTCGTTCGTAATCATTCATTCGATATGGCCGAATTATAGACCAAACTTAGAATATAACTCTCTCAAATATTTATTGCTACAAATATCAATAAAGTTTACAATACGAGAATAGCCTTGATCAGTGGTAGAATACACGTCAATGTCTAGGATCCTCTGTACGAGGTTTTTGGAATCAATTAGAATATTCGAGTTTATTAAATACGAGTATTTTAGAGTGAACAATTCCAAATAACCTCTTCCATTTCAATAACATTCTTCAAGATAATTAATTGATGAAAAAATCTACAAAGTTAGGTATTACTTAAGTACATGTCTAAAACAATAGCAGTAAACTGCATTAACTCATAAATTACAAACTTTGGAAAGTGGAAGTTCTAGTTTAAAACATAAAATTGAATTTCGAAAATTTCTAATTTCTTATTTATTATAGTTCATTATTCGGCTACATAAAAGAATGTTTGATACGAGAATTTTAAAAATTCTATATTCGAAATTTTTTTTTTTTGGCGATATTATAGATGGCCAGTTGATTTTTCTCGTACTGTATCCCTTTAATATAGCTTAAGCGTATACAAAATAGCTGCATATTCACAATAAACATTTTGGAATAAACATTATTATCCTAATATCCGACTGCAAACATTCTCGATTTAAATACGCGAATAAATTACAAGCAGTTTTATATAGAATCTATAATCGAGTGTTTGCAATCGATCCATACTCATGATATTTTCAAAATACAATTTAGTCTGAGGTTTTTAAATGACCTGGCATGGTCTTTAAACAGTCTTATTAAACTTTTTAATCTAATACATTTCATGAGTATGAATTAATAAACAAAGGTGGATTAAGAGCAATGCCGTAGGGTTTTCAAATTATTTTTAACAGACTAACACTGGTATGACAAGAATTTTAAATGTACTTTATTTTTTGTAACTGGCAATTTCATCACTGAAAAACCATAGTAGTAGAATTTTATGATATTAAAGAATTAAAAAAGCTTACAAGTATTATGATAGAAACAATATGTTGCCATAGCAGATAAATCTTTTACTTTAAATTCAGTCTGTACTCCCTGGAAAGCACTGGATCCACCCTTGCGTTATACGACTAGATTATCATAGAACAACTTGAGACATCTGATTGGCGAGTCTATACCTCTTGCTATCTATTTCTACGTTCGTGTCTAAGCCACGTTTCACAGCCGTACTGCTAGACGGTTGTACCGTACCTAAATTATCATCTATTAATCTACTAGATCTACAATACCTGTATTCTGTGGGGTTATTGACCCTCTGGCACGTTGTATTAGTGGGTAATTGTAACGGGTAGTAAGTCTGCACAGTTGGCGCGCTGTCGTTCAAGTCCAGCACTGAGTATGTCGTTTCAGCTTCTACGGGGCGTTGACGGTAATCGTTGAGGTAGCTGGTGCTGCAAGTGCTGGATGCTGGCGACACTTGATATGGAGACGTGCATGGTGTGAGGTTAGGAGACGTACGAGCGCTGCTGTACCCCTGATCGGCTTCTGAGTCTGCTGGGGTCTCCCGAGACTTCACCATTTGCATCATCCTGTAAAGAGTGGTATGTTAGATGTGTAAATAGTGGTGGATGGTATTTTTCAATAAATATGAATCAGTATTTCGCTTCGGTGGTATAACCAATGATGGGATCTCAACCAAAATGGGATATCAACCGTTTGCTATAAAAAGCGTCTTTTCGGCCTTTGTTTCATCATGCAAAAAAACATGTTATAACATTATGTATAATGAAATCACTACAATCTAAAATTGACTGTTTGTGTTAAGGCGGCCAGCCAGCTCGGCCACGCCGGCAGCCCTAGCTCTGTGTATGGGTGTTACCTGTGCAGTAGGCGCGCGATGGGGGCGACGGCGGGGTGGTCCCGGGCGGCGCGGGCGGCCAGCCAGCCCGGCCACGCCGGCAGCCCTAGCTCTGTGTATGGGTGTTACCTGTGCAGTAGGCGCGCGATGGGGGCGACGGCGGGGTGGTCCCGGGCGGCGCGGGCGGCCAGCCAGCCCGGCCACGCCGGCAGCCCTAGCTCTGTGTATGGGTGTTACCTGTGCAGTAGGCGCGCGATGGGGGCGACGGCGGGGTGGTCCCGGGCGGCGCGGGCGGCCAGCCAGCCCGGCCACGCCGGCAGCCCTAGCTCTGTGTATGGGTGTTACCTGTGCAGTAGGCGCGCGATGGGGGCGACGGCGGGGTGGTCCCGGGCGGCGCGGGCGGCCAGCCAGCCCGGCCACGCCGGCAGCCCTAGCTCTGTGTATGGGTGTTACCTGTGCAGTAGGCGCGCGATGGGGGCGACGGCGGGGTGGTCCCGGGCGGCGCGGGCGGCCAGCCAGCCCGGCCACGCCGGCAGCCCTAGCTCTGTGTATGGGTGTTACCTGTGCAGTAGGCGCGCGATGGGGGCGACGGCGGGGTGGTCCCGGGCGGCGCGGGCGGCCAGCCAGCCCGGCCACGCCGGCAGCCCTAGCTCTGTGTATGGGTGTTACCTGTGCAGTAGGCGCGCGATGGGGGCGACGGCGGGGTGGTCCCGGGCGGCGCGGGCGGCCAGCCAGCCCGGCCACGCCGGCAGCCCTAGCTCTGTGTATGGGTGTTACCTGTGCAGTAGGCGCGCGATGGGGGCGACGGCGGGGTGGTCCCGGGCGGCGCGGGCGGCCAGCCAGCCCGGCCACGCCGGCAGCCCTAGCTCTGTGTATGGGTGTTACCTGTGCAGTAGGCGCGCGATGGGGGCGACGGCGGGGTGGTCCCGGGCGGCGCGGGCGGCCAGCCAGCCCGGCCACGCCGGCAGCCCTAGCTCTGCACGTGCGCACGCCACGCACGCGCACCCCACGTCCACGCTCTCCAGCGCCACCAGCCGCACATCTGTACAGGGACAAAAGCTTTGCTTACCAATTTAATAATAGCTAGCTATCAACCACGGCTTAGCACGGGTAGTATACATATAAATCTTCGTCCTGAATTACTCTATCTATTGCTAAAAACAATTTCTTTCTTTTTTGTCTTCCTATCTGCTATCAGTCTTATCTTGTTTGCTTGCTAAAAATTGCATTAAAATCCGTAGATTAAAAGATCCGAGCAAAGAGACAGCAGAAACAACTTTTTTACTTTATACTGCTGTCTGTGCTGGTAACAAACAAGCATCTGGTGCATATCTGACAGTGATTATTTAAAAGACACACAAGTTTCTTGGGCATTCTTCTTGTGATGGACGGTTTCCCTAGTGAGCGATAGATAAAAAAAATTATGAGAACTAACTTTTGAAAAGTGCTTAAATTAAGTTTATTTGAATTTTCTATTCTAACCATCTGATGGTAAACAGTTATAGTCTATTATCATTACTACAAAACACTGACCTGACAGAGTCAAATCAAGATACGCCTCCAGCAACTTAGCGCCGTCCCGTTTGAACCGCCTCACGAACTTCGGATGCCTCGTGGTGAGGTCGGCATCCGTGACCACGTACTGTGCCAGAAGCGCCGCAAACGTCGCCGGGGTCGGGGCCAGCAGCCGCCACCGTACATGCTGGCCCACCATCCATTCCAGCTGCCTGAACGTTTTCCCGCACAATTGAACCCCACTGATCTTCGATAGGGTCTTTAGGGATGGCGCCCGGCTGACTTTTTCCTCGCTTTTTGCTGGAACAAAAACGTTAATACGTGAGTAAAACTCAGGTAATTAAATCTAATATTATAAATGCTAAATTGTATCTGACAGTCCTGGTGGTGTTGTGGTCTAGCACACCACATTACTCTGGATGCTTTCTATATAAATATATTATGTATGTATTTGCAAATAAAATAAGAAACAGTATTTATATCAGTTGTCTAATACCCATAACTTAAGCTGCTTAGCTTGGTACTAGATGGCGGTGTGTGAATTATCCTCTGATATTTATTATTTAGCTGATAATATTTACATCTAATATTTCACTACCAAATGTCATATGCCGACACGGAGTTTACTTCATAGCTGCTTGGCAGTAGAACTCAATTAGAGACGTAAGATTTTCTACTCTACCTTGTTAATAACAGGATAACAATTGGTGGGAGGGGCCCACCAATTAACTTATTATTATTATGATTGTTAGCAATGTGGACTTTTGACATCATTGCAAGCAATGTCAGATTGTAATTTCCTGGTCAATATGTCATGTTCATCTTATCATCTCCACTGGTGCCCAGTCAGGTGCACCAGAACACAATCTATCATTAAAAAAACATGATAACAATTTGAAGCATATAAGAACTGGAACAAACCAGCAAGGCTCAGGCAAGCCAGTGCAACATGTGTCAGCCGATCTGATCTCAATCGATGCGCATCCATGAACAGGTCGAGTTGAGCCACCGCCGCGTGTAGAGTTGCAATAGTGAGCGACAGCTTCTTGGAGACATCACGGAGGAGCTGGACAAGTGTGCCGCGGAATTCCAACTGTGAATAATAATAATAATCATGTTTATTTGTCTCAAATAATATTACAAATGCTGCTTATGAAATAAATAAATAAATAATATAATATTTAGAGACAAAACGACGCAACTCAACAACTCAGAGGGGGTTTACACTCTCTGCTATTCTGTTATAGCCATTATCGGTAAATTTATTTATTTATTTCTCATTTTCGTAATTTCTTTTATTAAAAAATTGTTCGTAATTATACGTAGAACTAAAATATTATTATTATCTAATCGAACGATTACTTAATTATATAGTTCACAATTATCACCTAATATCTATTGAAAGGTACGTAGAGATATTTCCTAAGCTATCAATAGCTACAAGTAGACACTGATATTTATTTAGATAATAAATCTGACATAAAATGAGTAGCACTAGAATCCACAATACTACAAAGCAACTATTGTTACATTAGAGGCTAGACCAGAGGAAAACTCTGTAGAAAGCCCCTTTGGGAGCCTCAGTCTCACCTGATTCCGTCGCCAGTGCCTTATTTTGCATGTTTCAAGTTTTAGGATGAGATATAAAGTGAACTATAAATTAAAAACATAAAGAAATGCTAGAAAAGTCCTATAACGTACGCCTCGTAAATTTCTTCTTTATAATTGCACATATTTACAATAACTTAACAATACACACATGAACTCTGTTTAAAGAGTGTAGCAGTTTTGTAGATGATTCATTCCACATTTTACAATAATCAAAAGCGTCTGTTAGTTTGTTACAACTAAATGAGAAATGCAATTTAAGTTTCAATTCTAAATCTAATTATTTACGTAAGAGCAAAGATATGTACTACAGTTTATAGAGATCAACATAGAAAGATGTATAATAATAATAATACCCCAAGGTAAGCAGAGGTTGTGTTATAATAATAATAATAATATATAATAATCTCAGGACAATTCACACAGCGCCATCTAGACCCAAATTAAGCTAGCTAAAGCTTGTGTTATGGGTACTAGATAACTGATACATATACATAGATATTTTATTTTGTAACTACATACATATTATACATAGAAAACACCCAGACCGATACAAACAATCATACTCATGAATACAAATGTTTGTGCTGTGTGAGGAATCGAACCCGCGACCATCGGTCGTAAAGCGGTGTGCTAGACCGCTAGACCACCGAGGTCGTTATGAGTACTAAACTAATGATATTTTTATGTTTGTAAAATTTTACATAAAAAATACCAAGATGGATACAAACAATCATATTCATGAATACAAAAGTTTATACCGTGCGAGGAACCGAACCAATGGAAATAAAGCGGTGCGGACTACCGATGCCAATATATATATTTTTGCCATTCTGGAGGACTATGGTGCATATACTCTAATTCACTATTTACAATATATCTCTTCTCAAACAGCGGTATATTTAATCTCTACATAGTATAAAACAAAGTCACTGCCGCAGTCTATTCACTTATATCCTTTAATTACGCAATGGATTGATTCAAGTGGAAGTTTTATATGTATAATACATATACACGATGTGTACTATAATAATAATAAATATGTTTATTATATTATCAATGGCCCATTTGTTAGTGTTTTTTTTTCTAATCTAATGATAGTAAAGTTGTTATCTACACTAACCAAATGTTGTATTATTGGTAGATAAAATTTTTTCATCACTTCTCTAACTATATCTCTGTCTTCAAACAGCAGTATAGTTTAATAAAGAAAAAAGAGGAAACAGAAGATTTTACGTTTTACAATTGAGGAATTAAAAGCTAAATTGCATCAGCGCATCTGATGAAATCCAGGCAACTATTACTTCATAGGTAGTATCATATTACATTTTTACTAGTACGACTTATAAGCCGATTGCATCTGCGTTGCATCATATAATATCGATCTGTTCAGCTGCTCGTTCCTTTTGACCGACTTCGAAAAGTGAAGATTCTCAGTACAACATACTGGCTATAATTAGTAAATAAAGTAGTATAAAAATAAAAAATAAAACGTGGTAAGATCCCGTGGGTCTTACCACGTTTTATTTTTTAATTTTTGTTGAGTTCCCGATATTTTCAGTTTACCCGTGATCGTTGCAACACTGCCGCAATATTGGTAAGTGTAAGAAATTATAATTTTTTTTAGGTTTTGTATTTTATGTTGGGCTAAAAAGGACTTGTATCCAGAGCCGTAAAATATTAAATAAAAAAAAATTGGTAAGATACTTATAAATAATGACTGCATCAAACTTAAAACAATATTGTTATATATTGTTGGGTACTGGGTGTTGTGCTAGGTGTTATAAAGTATTATATAATACACTTGGGTGTCAATAACGCGATATTTCATTTGACTTTTAGCATGAACTTAGGAACAGTTTTTTTTTAATAATTTAATTATTAATTATCATGTCATTCATTTAGAGATAAGATTATGTAATTAATCTCGATATATGGAAAATATACGAAAAAACAATTATTGGGGGGCTTTAGAAATATATTGAAATAAAAAAACAATGAATGTTACAACTTTTGTCTGTTCGTTATGTCCACAAATTTCAGAAACGGCGTAACCAATTTGGGTGCGGTTTTCCTTAATGTATTATGGTAAGAACAACTAAAAATATTGTATTTATTTAATTCTAGTCGGCTTTCAAATAATAAAATTGTATGGGTATGAAGTTACCAGCTCAATTAGTTGTACGTACAACAAAATAGTAAACGCCCTATAAATATCTATACATTAAATATTCTTTTAAAAAAAACAGTATACTTTATGTAAAAAAAAATAGGAGAATGCAGAATTTTTGTCTGTGCGTTTGTGTAGTTCAATTATCCGTATGTATTGTATCAGCAAATTTTGTGTGTTTTGTTCCAATCAGTTTACGAACAAATTCGTATGGATAGTACGGCCTCAAATAGTCGTACGTAGAACAAAATAGTAAACGATCTATAAATACCTCTACATTATATTCTTTAAAAAAAACAGTATACTTTAGGTAAAAAGAAATAAAAGAATGCAGAATTTTTGTCTGTGAGTTGCCATAAACAATTTAACAGAATCGATGTGGTTATGACAATACAAAAACACATAAGAACAATTATTTACATTGTTAACCGGGTCTTAACACGAAACAATGTACTATACACGAAAGTTTAGTAACTATAGAATAACAACATAGTATCTATACATATAAAATTGGAGTATCTGTTTGTAATATTTAAATAACCGTTTTTTACTTTATGAATATAAATACGGTACATACACAAAAATAACATTTTTTTAAATATTTGCCTGTCTGTCTGTTTGTTTGTTCAGACTAATCTCTGAAATGGCTGGATCGATTTTGACGGGACTTTTGTTGGCAGGTAGCTGATGTAATAAGAAGTAACTTAGGCTACTTTTATTTTAGAAAAATAAAGTTAAATTTCATGCGTACGAAGTCGCCGGTGCAGCTAGTTATCCAATAAGAATAAATGATTCATCAAGTTCATGACCAAAAACAATGGATTAATTAAATTGTTAATAATGATGAAATTTATGCAACTATTATACCTAATAAATAATTTCATAATACCATCGCCTTTGTGCGTATTTACACCACATTTCACCATATTGATCTGTATTGCACCATGCTTCACAGGTGGATTTTTTTTATGATTAGTCTATCCTTTTTGGAGAATACTAGTTGTAGTGTAATGAACATAGACTAATTAAGTGTACTATAGTAATTTACTCTGTATTGTTTTGGCTATCTCATAAGTAAACTCGTGATTAACTAAAGATTGGTTTAATTTATAATATTAGTGATTGCCCTGGCATTCCATGGATACAATTGTTGTAGGGTTCCCCTATTTTTCATTTATCCACCTATACAAACAAATCTGTTTGTAATTTCAAATTAAAAGGTTTTAACTAAAAGCATGAGAAAATATATACCACACCGGCTTCAAAAAATTAATTTCAAAAAATTGTCTGTCTGTTTATTTATTTTTGCTAATGTCTGAAGTGTCTGAGCTATGGAATCTGTTAAAAGCTTTTTTTTTCTATTCTCTTGATCTCTCTATAGCGATTGAATAGAAAAAAAAACTAAAATTGAAGGCTGTTAATACTCATAGCTAAGACAGAACAATGTTAGATCAACTACTACAATATACTTATGTGATAGTATTGCTGTATTTTATGGAATTATAGCTATGTACCTGTGGAGACTGTAGATGGATTGTCGGCTTCTTCGATTCCTGTTCCAGCAGGCTCTTCCATATCTCCTCCTTATACTCGCAGTGGTATTCATCATCAGGATCTGTTATTGGCTGTAACAAGAATTATTTCATCAAAAAAGGAAATTAAATAACTATGTATTGTTGCTCTCACAGAAAGAATATAACAATTATGTAATTTAATATGTATACCAAATAAAAATATAAAAACAATATATAACTGTATATATATATGTATATAACTACAATGCAGAGGTAACAATGGGAGGCCTTATCACTAAATAGTGTTTGGTTGTGAATTATTTCTTTTTTTTTTAACTACTCTATGTACATGTGGTAGATGGCCTTTAAAACTTTCACTGAACAAAAATAGGAGAGTGCAGAATGTACTCAAGTCTGTGGAAGGATTTCTGTATAGGATAAAGACCAGCTATTGTATAACAAATGCAACTTAACCCCAGATCTAAGCTCAGTGTTCAAAGTTTGAAAATAGATAATGTAATTTTTTTGTATAGCATGGGAAATAGGCCAACTTATGGCAACTCGGAACCCCAATAGAATGGGACAGGGGATTCAGTAAGTTTTATAATATTTCTCTATCTGTAGCATACACCTTTTTAAGTATTGTTTTTATTTATTTATTTTTTTATTATAGTATATGGCAACATGGCATCTTAGTCCACTTACAATCAAGGCTATCAGTATTTGCCATTTGTAAAATCCATAAATCCATTGTTTTTTTTGTAGATGCAAATTTATAATTTATCTATATTATATATATTTATATAAGGTCATTATTATGTAATAATATCCCTGGACAATTCACACAGTGCCATATAGTCTTAAGCTAAGCAGCTTGTGTTATTGGTAACAAACAATTGACAGATACACTGATATTTTTTTAATATGTACATACCATGCAAGAATATGAACCTAGTACTATTGGAAGTAAAGCACTGTGCTAAATAACTACACCATAGAGGCCACCATATTGTTTTGAAATAAGTAAAGAATTAATGACCTTCCAGGTTTTGTTTCAAGTATTCTTTCTTTTATGGTCTCAAAATCTGATCTTATCCTGGACATGGATACGGACAATAAATAGAAATATATTTTTATTTCTACTTTATCACCAAATTGTAAATTGTAAACATATTTTTGGTTGCCATATTGCCACAGAACAGTAAGAAATAGATAAGGATGCTATCAGTTATGTTCATTCCAGATTCAATTATGATTTTCCATTCAATTAAACATTTCTAAATAGAGATAATCATATTTTAAAAACATTAATGCATTAAAAGTAATACAAATCTGAGGGTAGTTGTATAAGCAAATTTTTATAACCCTAATAATTATTTTTTAAAGACATTAAATACGAAATTTATTAATACTGTGGATCCCACACGGAGATCAGATAATTAAGAACATATTTATATTATGTATAAACATATAAATTTGCATGTTATTATACTATTAAAATAACATGAACAAAATACATCACATTATTCAAAACAAAGGAATTTGATACTTTTTAAAATAATATAAAAACTCATGTTGGTTCTTTTATAAACACAAAACAAATAAATTATATTATATTTGTAATTGAGTATAGATTTTATTCAACATTTTTTTATTTTAAATGCATGATAGAGAAAAGTTCACAGGCTTACATTGGGATCGAATCTTGAGTCGCTTGACTCGGCTTTTGACCCATTTTCTTTGGATGTGTGGCTCCTAACACTCGACAAGTTGAGCTTGGACATGTTTAAGGACTCCATTTCAACGTAAAAATGCGGTCAAGAACTTAAAATGTAGCGAGGTCCTTTAACACGTCGACTAGTTCTGACGTTCACCACGTGGAAACAAATGTCACATGTACAAGAAATATGGGAACATTTTTCACCACTACGTGCCACATCAATGAAACATTTCACTCACAATTGTAATACTAGATAAAGATATTACACAGTGACTTGTACAAAAAACTTAATTTATTTAATTTATATTATTCGTCACATGACGTTGCGCTAAAATAAGTAACTAGCATGCGACTTTGAAGAGTTCTGACAATTGAATGAATGACGAACGCGGAACGAATCACGAATTAAATGAAGGATGAACGAACTTTTTTTTATTAATATTTTTATGACTTTGGATTTACACTCTTTTGATTTAACCAAAGTACAATGTTGCCAAATAACCGTAACGTGAAACGATATTAAGTTTATGTCGGATAGTATGCAGTAAATAGCATTATTCGTCTCAGGGTGTTTTAAATCGAATTTGCCTTCGTAGCTATTGGTAAATAAATTATTTTGTATGTATAAAATAAAATAGATTCGTTCTCTGGATAATTAAAAACATTCGTTTTGGTATAATATGTATATAATATTAAGAAATACATACAGCAAAATGAACTGAATCAATATTTTATGTACTATTTTAAATAGTGTTACTATATTTTTATAGACATATACCTTACATCAGCAATCAAAAATAATATAACTCTTCAAACATGAAAAATCTATAAAGGTTTCTGTAATAAATTTCTACAACAAACATGAAATTAAAATGTATATATTGTTTGCAGTAAAAAGAATCCTATCGTAAATTACATATATTTATATTATTGTAATGAAAATTTAACTTCTACTTAATTTTATTTGAATGTCACAACAATACTTTTAAGGGTTTTTTCTTGATTCTGTTTTTATGGTAATTGAAACGTTTTGTCAAGGTTATTATGTTGTTACTATTTGAACATCCATATAAGGACATTTCTATGCTGTGTAAAATACCAACATTGCGGAAAAATTACATACGTCACTTTTTTTAGGGTGCCGATATAGTGCTAGCGGCTGTATGTGTTTTTATATAAAAATTAAAAAGTACTGACTAAATTGTAGATTTATATTAGTCACCATAGTGTTTAATTAGTAAAGTGTAAGAAAAGTATGTCGTACTCTAATAGTAAGTTCTAATTTATTGTATTCGCCAGTAGCATTGCAGAGAGTGCTTCTCGTTGGTATTTTTGTGATTTTGATATTATTATAACATTAAAGTGGTTTGTGATTCATTATTTATGTGTCTACAGAATATACTTTTGCGGCCTTGCCGCGAACACAGCGAGGTACACCGCTGGTTTTAGGCGGTGACCCGAAAGGTAGAAATTTCCTGTATACCAATGGGAATTCTGTAATAATCAGAGATATAGAAAATCCTGCCATTGCCGATGTGTATACAGAGCATTCGTGTCAAGTGAATGTAGCAAAATACTCTCCAAGTGGATTCTATATTGCATCTGGAGGTAGGTTATGATGAGCTACACTTTATTACATTATACAAATGATACACTGTTTAAATTGAGTAAGTACTTTGCCTCACTCTGTAGTTAAAAAAAAGGTGGTGTTTTTGGGGTTTTGAGCACTTGTGGCTATTGGTTTATAAGGCAGATAGTTAAATTGTGATAAATGAAGCAAGTAGTTATTGATGTATTAATTTAAAAACTAAATATGACTAACTGTATAGTAGTGAATCTCCTGCAATTACTAACTTCAATGAAATATTAAAATCATATTTTTAGGCTATTACCCTGTACTGAATCTAATAAAATGAATCTAGATGGCCAATAATTGTCATAGAGCTAAATATCCTAAAACTTATCTTGAGCCGATTTACTGCTTTGAATTTTAAAAATATCTTAATTCTTAATGTTTCAAAATCCGATATGTAAAATAAATATCATCTATATTTTTTTTATAGAAATTATGTAAGTTTATAATTTGCATTAAATTGGAATTAAAAACTTAATGTAGCCAAGTGTGTTTTTGTTGACACACTTTGTTGTTACGTAGTTGTACATATGTTGATACATAAATTTATTCTATTAATTTAGAGTTCTAGATTTAAATATTTCAAGAATGAGTGTGAAATACTGCACCATTTTTATTTATCATTATAAATTGTTATCATATATGTTTGTTTCAAATAGGGGATTTGGTAGTATCTTTACTGTTATATGATTAACATTATGAGTCATAGACTCATAGTATTTATTTATATAAGTTAGAATATTAGTTAATTAAATTGGTAATTAAAATTTGCATGTTATATTTAAAGCTGTTGATCAGCCATTACAACTAATCTAGGGTTTACATAACTTTTAATTACAGACTGAGTAATGTAAATAAATTTCATATCATTGTCTTATAGCCTATATATTTTTAATTACAAACATATGTAAATTTAACAGAAAATAATATGAGTATAAGAATTATATGTTAAACTTAAACCTCAAAATTATATATTCACATTTCACTTTCAGCCAAGTGAAAAAAGAATCAAAAAATTCAAATGATAGATTTTTTTTTATTGTATTATACAAACTTATTTTTTATTATGGCTATGAATACATCTTCTTTTACTCAACTTTAACTGACTATTCCACAGTGCCACAGTGCTACCTGTGTGGAATGTAGCTTGTTTTTTATATTTTTTTAAAGCATATGGCCCATCTGAGGGTAAATGGTTACCGTAGCCTATGTCACTTCTTGATTTATAATCTGTCTACATATTCTGAAAGAATTATTACAATTATTGTAGAAAGTTTTGAGTTTATAAATCATAAATTAAAATTATATTAGTTGTAGACTTTTTTTATGTTATGCTCATTCAGAGAATATATATTCTTGGCACACCCATATGGATATCAATATTAATCTATCGTTTACCTAAAAAAGCAGATGAAAGCACAGATTACAGCTAGTTATCTTCTAGCATTATATAATATGTAGAATCATGTTTATCTGTTTGTTTAGGGATCTTAAAGGGTACTTAAGAGGGAGGAAATAGAAGTTTATATAGTCGATAAATTATTTCTCAAGTAAGGGATGTAAACACTTGAGAAACAGGAAGAATTTATTCTATGCAGATGAATTTGCGCGTATCTACTAGTTGATATAAATAAATAAAGTAAATATTATCGCAACATATCAGATGTATGAAATCTTTATGCATTTGTTTCTTATCATTAAACTTGCGATTTGTAATTATCACCACACCTATTGATAATAATGAATTGATATAATTGATGTGATTTTAACTTTAATTCTTCATGGTATCACTTTTACAAAGGTGGACAAAGAGTATTGAGAAAGTAAAAATATATTGTAATAAAAGAAAAATTTATATGTGTGGTCTAGTTGTTTTACGCACTGCTTAACATAATGAAGCTGTTTGTAGGATTTTATTATATGTAAAGATAAATGTGTAAAGATAATCAGATAAAGTTAAAGTAAAAAAAGATTAGATCTTATAGGAAGCTTTCAGTCATTTATGCAAGTTGTAAATTTTTTATTTATCACTATCCATACAACCCATTTTGGCTAGATACTTTAGTTGAGAAGAACTGGCAAAAACTTAACTGGTACATTTTTTAATTTAATAACTTTTTTAATCCCTTTCATTCTTTAAAAATTAACATAGCCTTCAAATAGTATATAGGTGTGTCTAACATATTTAAGATATCAAAAATCTCTTCAATATTCTATACTGACTCATTACTTAGTATCCATTAGATTTATTCAATAAATATTTTTATAACAAAAATTTAAGCATATTAAAAAATTCATCCACAATACTAAAGACTAGTGATTGGCCTTTGCTTCCTACAGATATATGTACACTGTGTGAGAAGGAGGTTCTACAATTACAAATATTAGAGCATTATGCACATAAAAGTATAAATATTTCATGACAGTCTTACGCATAATAGTTCTGGATTCCTCCGTTCTGGACTCCTCCTTCCGGATCCCTGAATTTAATTCGTAGCTGTTTCATGAACAGTCTCTTATATTCACCACAGTCTGAAATAATAAAATAATTACAAAAGTTTTTTTAATTTTTTTAAAGTATATTTTTGACAAAAACGCAATAGCATATGCTGATAGTCAACTATAACAATCTGTATTTTTATAATTATGTACAACCTTGAAAAGAATAAGAGCTGAGTTAATTGTCAGTTCCTAACTCAAAAGTGCTTCTGCTCTGAACTGACTGTGGATTTTACATATCATAATAGTCTCAAATATACCAATATGAATAAATATATTTTTAACTGAAAACTTGGGTGCCTCTGTCACATATACCGTGCAGTTTCCAAGGTAGAAAGCTGTGTTTTGTAGATGGGTAAGATATAGTAGTAAAATTACAGAATACGACATAAACACATTATTTTTCTGAATAGGCCACGCATGAGGTTTCCAAATTCATTTTGTGATATCCGTGATGATGGTCACGTCTGTAAGTTACGATCAGTTTCCAACAGACAGGCTGTCAAGCCCTTTTTCATCTAGTTACTTTTTCTTTTTTTTTTTTATTGGGTTGTTTGGGCTATTGTCAGATGTTTTTTTTTTTGTGGATGATAATGGAATGGTACACCCGCCAGCGCTACCGGTTTACGCTGGCGGGGCACCAGTGGAGGATGATAAGACGAACATGAGGTCAGGTCAGTTAGCCCATCGTGACAAATTCACCAAGAATTTAACACGATGGTTTCCAGGGAGAACCGCGTGGAGGTCGACCTGACATGGTACATTGCTAGCAATGGGGTTATCAATCCACATTACTAACAATCCCCTTCCCCCTTATTGTGAGATGTTTATAGCACCTGTAGCACTGCGACCTACATAGATCTATTGTGCTCGCTCTTTTTCAAAGCTCGCTACCTAGACCCGTTAGGGACAAGAATTGAAGGATATTCTTAGGAGCGATGGTTTTAATCTCCTTGGGTAAGAGTGTAAACTTCCCAAATGAGATATTTCGTTTATGCATGAGTAGGCTACAACCACATAGGATGTGTAGTGGCGTTACATAAAAAAAATGTGAAATCTAGAGTTAATTTCCATAAACAATATAGTATTGTGAAATGAATCTACTTTTCATGGAAATTCCGAGCCGGTGCATAAGCAATTGAGTTTAATGGGAGAAAGTGAATGAGCGAGATGCAAAAACTTTAAACGAAGGTGCTGATTAACACACTTGTACGCAATAATGCGGATTCTGTATACATTAGTTTCATTGACTGATTTTTGAGGTACTTTATATATAATTTTGTAATGCTGTTCATGTCTAAACGATGGTTACCTATCTATAACACAAGCTCTGCTTTGCTTAGGACTAGACGGCGCTGTGTTAATTGTCCAGGGCTATTTATATCTCTGGACAATTCACAAAGCGCCATCTAAGCAGTGGTTGAGTTATGGGTCTAGTAGCCAAGGCTATAGACCTCTTTTGGATTTCGTCTTTAGTTTTATGTATAACAGTGAGGAGGAAAGTGGATTGTTACTACTATGGACTATATAAACCATATTACTAGCAATGTACCATAATCAGACTTCGTGCTCATTTTATCATACTCCACTGATTCCCCGCCAGCGTAGACCGTTAGCGCAGGCGGATACATCATTCCATTATCATCCATAAGAAAAGTAACAATGAATGTACGTGTAATGAGTGTAATTGTTATATAATATGTAGTGTATTGTTATAATGACATACATTTATAAATCGTAGTTTTATTAGATACTTATAGTAGCGTATGACTTTGGCCACTCGCCAGATGGGGCATGGAGATCTCCAGAATTAAACTTGTTAAATATCACAACAAATCTTACACAAATAGTTGTTAACAGTTAAAATTGTTTCGGTGACCTTTGGAATTCTAAATATTACGTGTATTTATAATTCCATAGTCCACAGCTGTTTGGTTCTTTTATGATTGATTATGAAATGGACTTGCCTGCGTTGTTGATGATACGCGCAGTGCAAGATGAGGATGAAGTCAGATTAGTCAGCTCTTTGTAGCTAATTTAACAGGAATTAAGTACGATGACTTTGTAGGGGGACGCGTCGAAGTCAACCTAACAGGATGGCTACATAGATAGAAATTGATCTAGTACTCTCCATGACTAAAAATCTTCTCCCATGTCGAGGCAACAATTGGTGATACCGTATCAAACAATCTCATTATTGTTTATAATATTAATTAGAATAGTAGAGCAGATATTATGCGAGAGCGGTGTGGCCAAGTGGTTGACTACGCTGAATTACTACATAGAATTACTTTTTCGATCGGATGTGAACTCACGACGAGTTCAAATTTCGACTTTCGATCGACAAGACAAAATTTCGATCGACAGATTAAAAAATTGGGTGTTAATTTACTCTCGGTAAAAGAAACATTGATATCAAACCAACGGGCGAGACACGTTCTTATTAATCCAGACCCCATAACAGCAGCTAATCTCCTTATGGGTCCACCTATTCCGTCTTTACCACTCTTTCACACACGACCTGTACTCGCCGGCAAAGACCTCAACCACACTATACCGCGCAATCAACCGGGCTTTTGCCCCTTCGATCGATTTCGAGCCGAGTTCGAATCTCAAATTCAAATCGTATCTGTCTGGCGGGAGTTAGTCTTCAGCCGCATCATAAATCCTACTGCGGGATTGGAGTGCTATCTACACTCGCTCCCTATAGTCCGGTACAGCTGTAAAGGCCAGCAGCGGATAACAGTATTAGAGTACCCGAAAAAAAGGCTCCCCGCTACGAAGTTAGTTTCAAATATGCCGAACGAAATGTGGTCATGTCTAGTGTTGCGTTCACCATGACGTAGATAATTGACAATGCGTCTGATTTTCCCATCAGTCGTCACAGTATGTTCATAACAAAGTCCTCTAGATAGAGTATATATTTATGTCATGATTTTTTATATACATTTACTAATTGAATAAAATCTGGCTTTTGAGTTCACACTTTCGCCTTTGATAGTCATTACACTTTGTTTTAAAATTTATAAGTTATTAATATTTCTATAATCATGTCTGTGCTCTATAGTCAGATGTCCTCCATTTTGTAATATTAATTAAATAATTAAATAATATTGCAAAATGGAGGACATAAAGCGCTAAAGCACTCACGATTGAATAATGCGGGAATGCGCGAGCTGGCGACGCGCGCGGTCTTTCTCATTCTCTCTGTCTACCTTTACATAATCATTCTTTCCATCTTGAAAGCCAATTTCTGCTTGAAAGCGCAGCTAATAAGTAATCGTCATCCAGCGACAATTTTTAACTAAACGTAATATTCTGTACTTCTTTTTTTTATTACAGATGCATCCGGAAAGATTCGCATATGGGACACCGTGAACAAGGAGCATATATTAAAAAATGAGTTCCAACCAATCGGAGGACCGATCAAGGACATCGCCTGGAGCGCTGACAGTCAGCGCATGGTGGCCGTCGGAGAAGGGAGGGAAAGGTAATTTCACATTTCTATTTTTAAATATGAGATCTTATTAAATTCAATTTCAAAATATATTTATTCATATAGGTCCATTAAAGACACTTATGATAAGTCTAATTATAATTATCTACGGCGTATATATATGATAGTATAATATCATCGAGGTACAACAACGTCTGTCTTTCTTGCCTCTTACAACATTGGATCTTTCAAGAGAAGAGTGAATAGGCACTATTTGAGCTTGCGCTCAGCTTAGACTGCATCATCATTTAACATCTGTGTAATGTATCATATATGTTTTAAAATGAACTAACGAATATTTACAATAAATGCACAACAAAATTATACGGAAAATAGCGTTCAATTTATATTTAAACTATATACGCCCCGGCGTCGCACGTGTATAATATACATAAACCTTCCGTGTACATGTATTATATATATAAACCTTCCTCTTGAATCACTCTATCTATTAAAAAACACCGCTTCAAAATCTTTTGCCTATTTTTAAGCATACATAGGGACGGACAGACAGCGATAGTGACTTTGTTTTATACTATGTAATGATAATGACTGTGGTTTAATTAATAATAAATATCACCATGATTCAGAATGTTTTGGTCTGCTTTGCTGATTCAAGTCGGTACTTTCGTGACGCCAATTTCGAGTTTTTTTTAGAAATACACACAATATACATAGGAAATATCCAGAGCAATAAAAGCAATCCTACTCATGAATACAAATGTTTGTACCGTGCGAGGAATCGAATCCATGACAATCGGAAGTAAAACCTAAATCTCTTGACCATTGAGGCCGTCAGTATTTGAGCACGATAGTCAGAAGACTAAATTAATAAAACGAGAATCCCTGAATCTGTATTCGGAATTCTGTATTCAGCCCGATACAGATTCGGAGTGACACTCCACCTGTTATATGATCTGTCACATCTAGTTATTTTTAAACTTTCGTGTTTAATACACATTTATATTGTATTTATAATCCAGTCTTAACAGGAATAATTCAATGGTAAATAAATGTACTAAACTCTTTCGACGTTTCGACTACGTTGCACGAGCCTCACAGGCTGCCCTGAATATCTTTATTTACCATAAAATTATTCATGTTAAGACCCGGTTAACAATATATAATATGATTACTGACTGACTGATTAGATTTTTTATTTCTGCAATAGCATATGCTTGGTGGTCACTCTATTTTCCCAAATTTGATTTTAAATGACTCTGTATTATTGTAAACATGTACAACATTTATTTGAAAAGAATACTAGTGGGTTTCTTTTCAGTTCTTCTCATCTCGAAATCATTCCGAACTGACGGTAGATTTGACATATCATAAGAGTCTGTAATAGACCTACATGAATAAAGATAGTGTGAATTTGATTTTCAATATATTGCATATGTTAATAGTGCACGTAATTGATCACAAGATAAAAATAATTTCCCTTTTAACAGATTTGGCCACGTGTTTATGGCGGAAACCGGTACATCGGTCGGGGAGATCAGTGGGCAGTCGAAGCCGATAAACTCGGTCGATTTCCGACCGACGCGACCGTTCCGGATCGTAACCGCGTCCGAGGACAACACTATCGCTGTGTTTGAGGGGCCACCGTTCAAGTTCAAGTGTACTAAGCAGGTATTTACTTTCTGGCTTACACTTGTAATATTTCTGCAACACTCGGTACATTCCCATTTGTTTACCTTTGGGGCCGTTCAAGTATTACGTAAGTAGATTTATTAAAAATTTTTACCCCCCATTCCCCTTGTTAGCAAAAGTAAGCAAATCTCTTAGAACAGCCTCCTAAATATTTCAGCAATTGACATGGACATGAATTGATATTTCAAAGATATATTTTCTAATTTAGTAACATAGTTTATACTTTATTTACTAACATAATATGGGTGGATATCCGAAATAAATGAATAAACAAAATTTTTTTTTAATATTCTCCCTTTGATGGGGTTATCATTCTTTTACCATTTAAGTTCGATGTAAAGTCAGTCCACATTACGACTCCGCGTCGCCTTAAGGTGTTAAGTCCGCCACATGCACCTATATTTGTGCATTAAGGTATTTGGCCTTTTTAGTGCCAAGGAGCGCCGTCGCTCTGCTCTCATCAGTAAAAAAATATGTATGGCACTAAAAGAGTAAATAAATAAATCAATATATTAATTAATTAACAGGAACACACTCGTTTCGCGCAAGCGGTTCGCTACAGCCCTGACGGTAGTTTGTTCGCGTCAGCTGGTTTCGACGGCAAGATCTACTTATACGATGGTGCTACATCTGAGCTTAAAGGAGAGGCGAGTATACCTTTATCTTATACTAGCTGTGCCCGTGGTTTCAAACGCGTTAAATTTCAATAAAAAATATAGCCTATTTGTTACTCTGATGCATAAGCTATATTGCTGTTCATCAAAATTCGTTCAGTAGTTTTTGCGTGAAAGAGAACCATACATATATATACATACTTCTATACTCACAAACTTCCGCGTTTATAATATTATTATTAGATATAAAATTCTCGTGTCATAAGTTTTCTTATAAAACGGTTTGACCGATTTTTATGTACTTTTATATTTGTATTTAGTAAGTCTGAGAATCGGCTACTATCTATTTTTCATACCCCTAAGTGATAAGGTTTGTCCACCCCTAATTTATTTTTATTTTTTCGACATAACATAATATTGTTTAGCATTGAAAAACAAATACAACCCTAAATTTTCTATCTATCACCAACCCCTACTTTTTAAATAGCGTTTTTAATTTATATGGCAAAGCTACGTTTGCAGGGTTAGCTACTTTACCATAAAATTATTCGGGTTAAAACCCGGTTAACAATATAAATAGTGTATAGGACACACGTAAGTTAAAAAATAACTACTATAACGCTTTTCTAAGACCCTAAAATCAATCATTATTACATTGATGATTAAAATTTGATAAAATTTATTAATTTTAATATCAACTTCAATTTAAATTTGCATGTTTAAAACGTAGCTGAATATTGAACTGTGAATTAATTTCTAAGAATTATGTAACCTGTTGCGTTTGCATTGCAAATCCTTATCATCATTACATAGTATAAAACAAAGTCGCTGTCGCTGTCTGTCCCTATGTATGGTTAAATAATTAAAACTACGCAACGGAATTTGAAGCGGTTTCTTTTAATACATAGAGTGATTTAAGAGGAAGTTTTATATATACAATACATGTACACCTGTGTGTAACTGAAGCGAGTAGCTAGTAAATAAATAAATCAACGTTTGCTATTCACAGATCGGATCACCAGCACACAAAGGTGGTGTGTACGGTATCTCATGGTCTCCTGATGGCAAGCAGCTGCTATCGTGTTCAGGAGACAAGACCTGTGCCATCTGGGATATTGAAACACTGCAGCGGGCCACACTATTCAATATGGGAACAGCTGTTGAAAATCAACAGGTACATTTTTTTTAATGGATGATAATAATTATTATGATAATCCATGAAAGGGGATTGTTAGTAATGTAGACTGATGATCTTATTGCTAGCAATGTACCATGTCAGATTGAGCTCCACGGGGTTCTCCGTGGCATTCCTTGGATACAATTGTTGTACGGTTCCCCTATTTTTCATTTATATTCTCCTTGGAAACCATCGTGATAAATTCTTGGTGAATTTGCCACGATGGGATAACGGACCTGACCTCATGTCCACCTTATCATCATCCACTGGCGCCAGCGTAAACGGTTAGCGCAGGTAGGTGCCTCATTCCATTATCATCCATAAAAAATGATAACCCCATCCAAGGAAGAATACTAAAAATATATTTTTGTTTATTAATTTATTTCGGATATCCATCCATACTATGTTAATAAACAATGTATAAACTATGTTACTAAATTAGAAAATATATCTTTGAAATATCAATTCATGTCCATGTCAATTGCTGAAATGGTTAGGAGGCTGTTTACGCTCACCCGAATTTTACACTATGTATATAGCAAAATAATAATAATAATCGTCTCCATGGCCTCGGTGGTTGGTGGTGGTAGCGGTTTAGCACACTGCTTTACTTACGATTGTCGCGGGTTTGATTCCTCGCACGGTACAACATTTCTATTTTGATTGATTTTGGCATTATCTATAAATAGTCGTTATTATTTATTAAGCATTATATATGACAATTTTCATTTAATGATACAGAGTCATTCAAAAATGTATTTTTTTTTTTTTTTATTTTTAAAAATTTTTTAAATGTTGACCAACTTTTAATGGGAGGCGAGGGAGGGGGGATAGGGGTATGGGGGGGTAAATAATTGTAATCTGCTTACGTAGTACTTGAACGGTCCCTAATCGTTTATTGAGTGATAAAGGTCTTGTTCAATAAACATAATTTAACCTGTTAAATCATATTTATAGAGCAATTAAATTTATTTCATTATTGAATTAAATTTATTTAACAGTAATTTCAGGAAATCCTTTGGTATCTTATTTAAAATTTGTTACCCAACCAAATCCAAAGGTTTGTAAACCAACTAAATCGGCAAACATTGTTACTAACAATGTTTGCCGATTTAGTTGGTTTCATCATCATTGCCTTGCCTTTATCCCATTCATTGGGGTCGGCGCAGTATGTCATATGCCGGGTTAGTTGGTTTGTTTATAGTATTAATGTGAATATTTCTCTTCAGGTATCATGCCTCTGGCAAGGGAATCATCTCCTCACGATATCCCTGTCCGGTGTGATCAATTACTTGGATGTTGATAACCCAGACAAACCTAGACAAGTTCTTATGGGGCATAACAAACCCATTACATCGTTAGCGCTGCATCCAGATAGACATACAGTGTATACAGCCAGCCATGATGGATGTGTGACGTCGTGGAATGTTGAAAGTGGTACGTATTTTTGTATCTACCAACCTGGCATAAAAAAACATTTATTTTGTTTATTTTTTTATTTATTTTATTCGGAAAACCAAGGCTATTTACAAACATAGTGGTAAATGAAATTAAATCACAAAAGCCATATACAGGTTTTCATAGATATAAACATTGTAGAAAATAAATTTACAGTACTAACACGAGAGCCGTGTATCATAAGTGGCTTCACATATTTCACATATTTTATACAAATAATTTATAAGTATAATAAGTAATCATAAGATCATACATCAGGTATCAAAAACATTAACAATCTACTAAAAAATTGTGAGAGTATGTAGAGTATAGATATCCTAGCTGTGTCCGCGGTTTCACTCGCGTGAATTTTATAGCTTGTATGTTATTATGATATATTACTGTAAAGTTTCATCAAAATCTGTTCAGTACTTTTTGCGTGAAAGAGTAACAAACATCCATACTTACAAACTTTCGCATTTATAATATTTATATAATTAAGATAAAATGATATAAATTCCAGGCGAAGCCCGTCACATCCAGGGTCAAGGTCACGGCAACCAAGTGAACGGGATGCGCTCCAGCAAGGATGGTTCACTCCTCACCATCGGTATTGATGATTCACTCCGCAAGGCTGTGCCCTCCGCTGAAGGTATGCAAAATTATAAATAATGCGAATTCGACTTTAAAGTTGTAATTTTAAGGTTTATTTTTATTATTTTTATGGAGGAGTTAAGGCTATAGTTAAGTGCTTTAGACTTGTAACACTGCGACCTAGTTAATGGAAAATTTAAAATAATGTGAATTCGACCCTAAGGTTATAATTTTAAGGTTCATTTTTATTGAGGAGTTTCGGCTATTATCAGGTGCTTTAGACCTGTAGCACAGCAACGTATATAGATCTATTGTTCTTAGCCTTTTTCAAAGTTCACTACCTAGACCCGTTGAAGGATATTCTTAGAAGGGATGCTTTTTATCTCCTCAGGATAGAGTATATACTTTCCAATGGAGATATTTCGTTTATGCATGAGTGGGCTACAACCACATAGGATGTGTGACGTTTTCTCTTCAGCTTGGCAAAATCTGCAGGTTTTTGTTGAGTACAGGCTTAAGTTTGCCATGTGTTTATTCATGTTTAATTTTCAATTTTTGACTTAATGGAGTTTTTAGTTATTATAATCTTGTATATAAAATTCTCATGTCACAGTTTTCGTTCCCATACTCCTCCGAAACGGCTTGACCGATTCTCATGAAATTTTGTGAGCGTATTGAGTAGGTCTGAGAATCGGTCAACATCTATTTTTCATCCCCCTAAATGTTAGGGGTAGTCCACCCCTAAATTTTTATTTTATTTTAAGGCATAATATTATGTCATCGAGGCCGATGATAATGATTTCGTATGATTTAATATTTCAGGCGAGGCGCCGACATATACAGATACAGTTGTACCCCTGGGCTCACAGCCTCGCGCTATGGACCACATCATAGAAGATGATACCACCATCATAGCCACTGTTAAAGAGGTATGTCAAAATTGCCAGGTAGCACTGAGACCAGTATAGATCTATTGTGCTCGCCCTTTTTCAAAGTTCGCTACCTAGACCCGTTAGGGACAAGAATTGAAGGATATTCTTAGGAATGATGGAAAACCATCGTTCATTCACTTTATTCTCTTATTTCCAAAAGATACAAATATCGTTTGGAAATAAGAGAATTCGGCAGTTAAATACATATATTAAAATAATAATATTTACACGTTGACATAAGATAAATCCTGAGTTATAAAAGTGACGTATTGTTTAAAAGTGTACAAACAATTCATTCTATGATGGCCAGTATTATAATTTTCACAGTATCACAGGATAGAGTTCTTTCCAAAGAAGATATTTATTTATTTATAATTGCACATGCATATACATAAATTTACATATAATAAATGAACAATGCACATGGGCTCTGTTTAAAGAGTATGGTAATTTCGTATATAGAATCGTAGAAAGTGGCACCGGTGTCAGAGAGGTTGAAGAGTAATCGTCTATCATGGTATGGACATGTAATGCGTAGGAACGTGGATAATATTTTAAGAAAGGTGTTACATATGAATGTGGATGGTTATAAGGGGAGAGGAAGGCCGAAAAAGAGATGGATGGACCGTGTGAAAGATGATATGGTAAGGAGGTAAATAACGATATGACTGCGATTCATCCCTGGAATGGAAGAGAAAAACATATTACGCCGACCCCAAATAAATGGGATAAGGAAGAAGCAGATGATGGTAATTTCGTAGATAACTCATTCCCAAAATGAAATTTAAGTCTGTTGTAGTGTCTGCTTAGCTCCTATAGTATGTCTGTTAAAAATTCTTTTACTGTTTTTATTTCGTTTATGCATGAGTGGCTACAACCATATAGGATGTGTAGCGTTTCCTCTTGTGCTTAGCATAATCTGCAGATTGTTGTTAGGCCTAATTAAAACAGGCCTAATTTTGCCATGTGTCTATTCAATTTGCAGTGTTCAGATGTATCTTGTAATGATTACAGTTGGCCGTAGTGATCGGTGGTAACAAGCAGTCGGTGCTGCCGCTGAGCTACGAGCCCACGTGCGTCGCCATCGACCCTAAGTCCAGACATGTTGCTGTCGGTGGTAAGTATTTTATAGAGGACTAGCTGTGTCCGCGATTTCAATATGAATTTCAATATAAAATATAGCCCATGTGTTATTCTGTATAAGCTATATTACTGTAAAGTTTCATCAAAATCTGTTCAGTAGTTTTTGCGTGAAAGAGTAACAAACATTACATCTATACTTACAAAGATTTGCGTTTATAATATTATTAAGATATTGTATTGCATTAGAGTCCGTTAATTTCCGTCCCCCTTTTTTTCTGTTTTCTAAAACAGTACGGACCGTATTGTAACGTGCGCACTCGCGGGTATGCATGCATGGCATTACGGATACGTCGTCATATGATGTCTGTAGCATTACCTTGCACTTTGTGAGAACTCAGGTTTACTCTGTAATATCCAGTGGCGGACTAAGGCTAAAGTGGGTACCAGGTAACATTGTAATTTTGGGCCAGGCGTTATCAATCAACATATAATTTGGATACGGTTCAGCAATACAACGAAGTCGCTGATAGCTGGTTATCTAATATTTGAGAGCCTCGAGCGGTTTACCACACCGCCTTACTTCCGATGGTCGCGCGTTCAATTCCAATAATTGTATTCATGAGTATGATTGTTTGTATAGGTCTGGGACAGTCTGGGTGTTTTCTATCTATATATGTATTTACGAAAAAAATATATATCTATGTATTTATACTGGATACAAATAGTACCCATAACATAAGCTTTAGCTTAGCTTAACTTGGGTCTAGATGGCGCTGTATAAATTGTCCTGAGATTATTATTAATATGTATTGTATATGTTTACAGGTGCAGACAATAAAGTACATTTATATACACTGGACGTCCGTACACTAACTCCTGGCGAGGAGCTGGTACACCTGGGTCCGGTCACCGACGTACGCTTCAGTCCTGACTCTAAGCTTCTGGTCGCCAGTGATGCTAATAGAAAACTTATATTATATTCTACCGATGACTATAAGGTGAGTTACTTGATGGATTTGTAGCATTACACATACGTGCAATACAGCTATGCGCTAACTGCCAGCGCAATGCGAGTGCCGATTATATTAATAACCTCGGTGCGAGCAGGATCGCACTTGTATTTTCGTCTCACTCATTGGATGCGTCATGCTGATTTGATAATACCATAACCATATAATTTTAGGCATATCTTGTCTATATACACGACACTTAGCTTTTAAACCAGTGTTTCCCAACCTCTTTAGTGCTATCACCCCCTTATGTAACATATAATTTATGAATTGTTCAGTTAAGACACTTAAATAATAGTTTTTTAGGAAGAAATCACAACGTAATTGATAATGAAACAGTAAGTAAATTTTGAAAACGTAATGAAAGATTAAAATTTTATATTCCATATAATTTTAATAGAGTCCATTTTTTCTTCTTTGCTTCCCCTTAACAATCAAATGTAAATGTGTAAATTGCAATGTGTGTGGGCCCCAAATAATAGATTAAATAGTGTAGGCTCAGTAGAACATGTCGCGACATGTCCTAATAATGGTTTTTGTTCTACAGTTAGCGCATAACAAAGAGTGGGGCTTCCATACAGCTCGCGTGAACTGCGTCGCCTTCAGTCCGGATTCGTCGCGAGTTGCGTCAGGTTCTCTCGATACTAGCATTATTATATGGAGCGTCGCCCAGCCTGCTAAGCATACTACTATTAAAAGTGAGTATTTATTTTGTATACTTATTTATTTATTTAGATCTTATTGAATTTTGTACAATAGGCGGGCTTAATGCATAACATGCTGACATGGTACATTATAATAATAATAACCCGGTACAATTCACACAGCGCCATCTAGTCCCAAGCTAAGAAGATCTTATTTTTCAGGCTTATTACTAAGTTCATACAAACTAATTCTTTGAATTCATGAATCCATTGGTAATAAAGTGGTGTGTTAAACCGTTAGACCATAGTGGCCCATTGGGCTAATAAACCCCATTACTAACCTAATACCTTCTCCCTTGTTTGTTTCTATTAATGTTAACTGACGATTCTTTGATTATAATCCACAGATGCTCACCCCCAAAGCCAGATCACTGGCATCACGTGGGTTGATGACGAGACGGTCGTCTCTGTGGGCCAGGACGCCAACACGCGCGTCTGGAGCGTGCCTAAAGCCTAAACGTAAGCTTTTATAGGGACATATTAACTCGTATGAGGATTTTAAAAACTTAAAATAACTTTCATCATTATATAAACACGTGAAGCAAAAACTTTATACCCCTTTTTTATGAAAATTAGGCGGACGCAATAGTATGAAATTTCGCACACTTATAGTTGATGTAGAGGAGTGCAAATGCTAATCATTTAGTTCACAATATTACTGTAACTATATTTATAAACGCTTGAAACTAATTATTGAATGGAAGAGAAAAACATTTTTTTTTTCGAGAGCTAATAACAGAATTGTACCTTCGCCTGCGCTAACGGTATACGCTGGCAGGACACCAATGGAGGATGATAAGATGAATATGAGGTCAGGTCAGTTAGCCCATCGTGGCAAATTCATCTGGAATTTAACATGATGGTTTCCAGGGGAACCGCGTGGAGATCAACCTGACATGGTACATTGCTAGGAATGGGGTTATTAACCATTATTAACAATCCCTTTTCCCCTTTAGAAAAACAATACGGCGAGCCCCAAGTAAATAGGATATGGAAGAAGCAGTGTTGATGTGCAGTATTTGTGTTCTTTTAAAATTTTAGCGTATGAAACGTTAGACGCAAAAATGTTAGTACAAGCCCAACTGAAATCTCTTTACAAATGTTCTACTTTCTAGCTGTCGTGACATGCCCCACCCCCCATGTCACGTGTATATGAGACGGAAGATCATAAGAAATATTACGGTTTGGATGTTATGAATTATGAATGTCCATCTTCATAAAAAAACAATGTATACTTTGTATATTACCATTATTAAATATATTATGAATTCCATTTACTAGCAACATTCTTAAGATATTTAAATAATGCACGCTACCAATTTAAAGTGCGAAATAATCTAATTATTGTAAGTTTTTAATGAATTTCATATGAGAAAGCTTCCCTAAAAAGCAAAGGTACTAAATTAAAAAGATTATATAAATTTATTATAAGCAACATACGAAAACACTAACGTATTTATTTTCGCTTTATGTTTAGTTGTAAGCTTAATGCTCAGTGAACGCATCTGTGCAACTGTAATAGAATCGATTAAAACTCTATTTTTTTTTTATTTCTGTTTAAGTTTCTGGAAAGACCGTATGGGCCCAATTCCCTTTGCAATTGGGCCCATACGGCCATGTCTACATGTTCGTATCATTACTCTGCTAACACGATTCCCGCCAATTTTGACATATGATTCAAAATGGCGGCAATATGTAACAGAAGTATAACGTGTGATGTCAGGACGTGTAGCTAGTTACTAATAAATATCTGGTCTGAAGTATTGCAGTCTGTGGAAATCTATAGACTATTTTATATATTACACATTAAAATTACTATAGCGAGATGTCATTTTTCTGTTGTAGATGCACAGTTGTGTAACATAGATAATTTATTTGTTACTAACGAATCAATCTTCGAACTGATTCAAAGAGATTTTTTTATAAATATCTGATACAGATATAGGGCTCTTATTATAAGGCTCTTTTTACAGTCATTAACTTATGCAGCACTAAATATATTTAATTTAAATAAAGATACTTATGATTAGTCAAAATTACCGTTAATTTAAATTTGTATATCTGTATAAATGATGTAACATTTTTTACATAAAATTTCACATATATTTTATATTGAAATGCTTTATAGAACTGCTGCTGTAAAATCAGATTACTTACTAGTGACTGTAAAAATTGTATTATAATATAAAATTTATATTGTAAGTTTGTTCACATATTTTATATTATGAAATACAGAGCCAGTCTATAGTGTTTTTGCTGGCAACGAATGTGATTTTTTTTAAATACCAGTATTAAAAATATTGTTTGTGCCCATTTGTATACTAACGTGTGGAGAAGCATTAAAATGACGTTTTATTAATACTATTCAGAAATATACTTTTTTTTTCGTAAATTTTCATATAAAATACTTTTTTCCAAAGATGTTTAGTTGAATTGGAAATAAGGAAATTGGAATCCACTTGTTTTGCCGGATGTAGTATTCCTAGAAAAAGACAAATTAGTCACGACTAAATGCAACTTATTCTCATATTTACATGTATGTATTTAAAAACTTATATTTATATTATAACGTAATACTGCATTAACTAGAATTTTGAAATTTTAGATAATGAACTCTAAAAGTTTTTAATATTAAAGTCTAGTTCACGAAAACTTGTATTTATTCAGTTAATGCATTATTATATTAAGTGTGAGATATACATATATACATAGTTGGTATATATGTATATATATATATATTTCGCACATTTATGCCTATAGGTTGTATATAAATATATGATATCTTAATATATATTTCTGAATAGAGCGTAGAAACTTTTCTGAACAGTATTTTTATACTAATTTCTGATATATTTTCTCTTTTTTTACGTGATTTCTACTAAAATATATGTAAAATGAAATAAAAGTTGTATACACTTGTAATTTGGATATTTTATTTTTGTTTTATTCAAGCACCTTACTATATATACCACGATTTTCCACGATACCACGGTTTCGCGTCTCTCGTATCCATTCTTTTTATTGAGGTTTTTGGGCTATTGCCTGGTGTTAAGACATGTAGCACTGCGACCTACATAGATCTATCTTGCTCGCCCTTGTTTCAGAGTTTACTACCTAGACCCGTCAGGGACAATATCTGAAGAATATTCTTAGGAGCGATGGTTTTTATCTCCTCGGGAAAGCGTGTATACTTTCCAAAGGCTACTTCGCTTATGCGTGAGTGGGCTACAACCACAAAGAATGTATAGTTTTCTTTTCAGCTCGTATCCATGCTGTAAGGCTCAGGCTTCATTACATTTGTGATACAGTCCAAAATATAGATTTTTATATATTACTAGCTGTTCCCGCAACTTCGTCAGCGTGGAATTTAACTTTATTTTTCTAAAATAAAAGTAACCTAAGTTACTCCTTATTTCATCAGCTACCTGCCAATAAAAGTCCCGTAAAAATCGGTCCAGCCATTTCAGAGATTAGCCGGAACAAACAGACAGACAGATGTACCGTATTTATATGCATATAGTAAAAAACTGTTATTTCAATTAACAAACAAACACTCCAATTTTATTTATATGTATAGATAGAAAAAGGAATATATAAATAAAAACAACAGCAATGTGTATATAACTATTTATTATACTTTTATTTATTATATTGTCTTTCCACTAATGTCTTTTATTGGCTTAAAACTGAGATAAGGGCCTGTGCAGGCTAAATACTTGTTTTTGTTGTCCGCCACTAGTTGTATAACCGTGTCCACTATTGTAACCACGATCTTGTATACATTATTTAATGAAAAGGGACACTAAAGATTGCCTAAACTTCTGCGTATGAACAGGACTTGTTATAAATTACATGGCTCCTAGCACTAACATTTAGTAAATAAATAATAATTTAACAATAATACACTAGTACAAAAAAAATTCACAGACCAATAAAGATGTTTTTTCCTATGATTTAAATTGGGTCATAGGAAACAATCCCATACATTTTAATACTATTGAAGAAAACGTAATGATAAAATATTTTTTTTTTACAAAAAGCTGTACGTATTGATATAGTAAAAAAATAATATTAAAAAGAATAGTGTTATTAAGTAGGGTTGCTTAAAATACGTGAGTAGGTATGTCACTATCTACGTACCGTGATCGTTTCTATCTAACTCACTACATGAGCTCTTATGCCATTACTCGGAAGTATTTAAAAAAACGTGAAAATGCAGACTATGTGAACGTGTTGTTAATGAACGTATTTAAGAAAACATGAATAATAATAGTAAGTACAATATACTTTGGGCTCAAAAACACTTGCATCCAGAGCCGTAAAACATATCAATAAAAAAATGTCTTTTGAAGTTACTACAAAGTTTTCGGTGGGAAACTTTAAAAGGGAATAATTATTGTAATGTTTGATAGTGATATTAGTGATCCAATTATAAAAAAAAATATAACTAACGTGAAAACACCTGAATAAAATAACTGAGAAAAAATATATATGTGAATTATATACATTGAGGTTTTTATAAGAGGAAGATACGTATATTATTTATACAATTTCTAATAACTGTACTACGGTACTGATTTTTTTATAGTTTTTACATCTGTATAATATAAGTACTCTACTTAATTACTCGTAGATCTGTTCCAGAGCAATATCTTTTGTTATGCAATATATTTTGTTCTCAAAGTACGTAAGTATACAAACCAAATTTCAATATTGTTTTCCCAGCTAATCATTTTATTAATTTAGATTTCCCTGTTATGTGGGTGTCGATAATAATTTTTACATGTTATTTTGCTTCATCCTACAAGGCAATATCCCTTTTATAATAATTAATTAATTCGTCGTCGATAAATCATAAACTTCAAAGGAAGTGGTAGAAATTTGCTGTTAATAAATTCACACTGATGAAAATTAGTTTTGTCAGTTTTACGCTGAACTTTGAAATGTTTACAATAAATATATCTATTTATAAACAACAATATTAGGTTTCTACATACGTTTTATATTTATATTATTTTTGCAAACGCTTTTGTATACACATTCTAGATTCTTCGAACACACATTGAGAAGTTATAAGAATTTATTTTACCAATGCATTAATTTTAATTTCATTCAGTGACCTGAGTACCTAATCTGTTGATGTAGTTATGTAGTTGTCTGGATCTTCCTTTTTTATCACAACTATTCTAACGTTATTTACTATATACGCAGCTGACTTTTACAGCTTCATCGGATCAGAAAGGGACCAAGAGCAGAGGGCATTCCAAATCCTCAGACAAGTTTATGGAGCCGTTGAAGGACAAATCCTGCATGCCAGGACTGGAACCGTCTCTTATGTGGAGAGATGTTATGAGAATTTGCATTATATACCTTAACAATTTTTTTTGACAAGGGCCAAGGAGCCGTTCAAGTATTACGTAAGCAAATTTATTACAATTATTTACACCCCCCTTCCTCTTTATCAGCAAAAGCAACTAAAGCTCTTACCGCCTCCCCCCATGCATACGTAAACATTTTTCGATTAATGTATTGTTTTTTAGCAAAGACAATGTGAGGATTGCCATTCGTGTAAAAAGTAAATAACTAGGTGCCGGTGACGTAATCATCATCTAGACTCGCCTACCCCCATGTCATCCAAAATAAGCAAAGCAAAGACCCCCCGCCCTCCATAGTGCTTATATAATTCTTGAACAGCCCCCATCCATAAATTATATCCCATTAATTTCATGATTTATGACCCCTTCCCCCGTCCTGGAACCCTGCCACCCCCTTTATAACGCGTAACGTAATTTCCCGATAGTCACCAAGTCCTCATAAACTGATCCCCACCACACTTTCGTCGGCTAGTCACAAATCCGCTCGCTCCCTGTGGTGCGCGGGCGCATGTCTGTACGCCACGTGCTTCCGTAGCGCGTCACGTGATCTCGACACGTGGCTGCACGCGCGGCACGCGTGCCGCCGCCCCGCGTGCGTCTCCATGTGCACGCGCAGATTGTATTGGTTGCTCAAACGTTTGTTGCATATAGTGCACACTGAACTGTTCATCCGCCATTTTCTGTCGTACGATTCTTGTGGTGCTGGAATTCAGATAAAAATAATATTTTTTATCAAATTAGGTGCTATTTTGCAAGTCTATTTGATTACTTAATGGATTCATATTATTTTGTTTAATTCCATTACAATTAGCATGTGTGATACCACAAATATTCAATGCGGAAGTTTGACTTCCGTTACGACCTTTCGACGAGAAAATAATATAAATTCATTGAGTAGGAAAATAATCTTAGTAATATTATAAATGCGGAAGTTTGTGAGTATGGATGGATGTTTGTTACTCTTTCACGCAAAAATTACTAAAAAATATACAAGATAATAACATATAGGCTATAGTTTAAAAAGATATTCAGAATTTGGCGAAATATTATCATAAATGTCAAGTAAGTGTGATGCAGACGAAGTTGCACGGGTCAGCTAGTTATTCTTATTTATATTTCAAGGTAGACTGTACAAAGACGTGATGTGGGACGTCTTACGAGGTTATCAAAATGATTGAAAATTGATTTCCAAATTTAAATTAATTCAATTTACTTACCAAAATTAGAAACAGGCTGCGTCTGTGCGTTAGTCGAGCTACTGAACTTGTGTGTGCTGTACAAATTCTGGACGATTTGATCCAATTTACTTAATCTATCTTTCTCTCTAACAAAATCAGCATTGCCACTTATTGCATTTGATTCTCCAGCGTCTTGCGGTGAAGTTAAATCTTCATAGTTCAATTTAGAATTGCTGTCGGAGTTCTCGTTGACGAGTATGCTTTCGTTAATATTGGGGTGTTGATTGGCTTCGTTTTTAATTTCCAAGTTGACGGGGGAGGTTTCGTTGTCAGTGGATTCGGTTTCCGTGGGGGTTAACGTTGGGTTCTGGAAATAATTATAAACCAGGACAATTTACACAGCACCCTCTAGTACCAAGCTAAGCAGACCTTGTACTGTAATAGGTGCTAGAAAACTTATATAACAATCAATGTTTTTGTAAATTCATACACATTATAATTAGAAAATACCCAACAATCATACTCATGATTGCAAATGTTAGTACCGTGCGAGGGACTGAAAGCGCGACCAACGAAAGTAAGATGGTGTGCTAAAACTCTGATTCATCAAGGCCGTCCGAATAATAAAAACAATGATTCGGAAATTATGATCATTATAATGAGCGAAGACGGTATATAATAATAATCTGTTGCGTGATTTGGAATAAGGGAAGAAACAGAGGAATACACCGATCTTATACTACATATCTACTATTAAGGAAAATTTCTTCTAATTCGTTACAAAGTACATAATATGTCAACTTACTTTAATTCTTAAGAATGTCATAACAGGATATATTTATAAATCTTTGTATTGCGCGAAGATCGAATTCGTGACAATCAGGTAGTGTGGTAATAGTTTAAAACTATACGCCCACGAGATCGAATAATTTGAGAGGAAGACTTACTGTATCAGCATCAGTCAGACCAGACACTTTCAGGGTCTGGGCGAGTCGTAACAGTGATGGCAGGATCTTCTTTGATGCGGTCACTTCACCCGTATACATAAAATGTAGGAGTAGTCTCAGTTCAGCCGCTTCACACCCGAGAACTACAACTACTGTGTTACTTTCAGCTTCCAGTTCCTGAAAGTAAGTAATATATGATTTTAGAATAGTTTTATTCATCAGATTTAGCGCATCGCAACAACTTTTTGATGCCTGTCTTTGCTAGTTTTTAATACACTAAAATCTACCAATACTATCAATAAACTAAAAAGTCGCCTGCGTGTGTACTATTTCCTCAGTCTAACCATTTTTAGTCTATTTTTGGTAGTTTTTAATACTAAAAAATAACAAAAATAGATTAAAATGTTGTCTGCGTGGGTACTATCTACTGGGTCTCACCAATTTAAGCCGCCTATCTGCTTGCTTTGAAGGCACCATTCAACTAAAACAAAGTTTATTAAGCACACTGCTTTGTGGTAGAAATATTTAAAACTTACGTCATACCCATGTTTGTACTAAGACTTCTTACCTTAAAGAAGTATAAAAAAAGGCGTTGTGCAAATTTTCCTAAAGTCTAGTAATTACACTTATTTTGCGTCGTACCTTGAATAACTGAGAAAAATATTGGCTACAAGACGCCAATACCAATCGGTGTGCCTTTAACGAAGTCCCGCTCGCATTTAGAGTGACGTCAGTCAGGGCTCCGGTGCTCAACATGCGGCCTAGGGCTCCGATGACGCTGTTCTGTTAAAAAGAAAACTGTATAAATATTCGATTAGCAACCATTTAGGATAATATTAACATTATTGTTATTATATATGACTGAAAATACTGTTTTCTTTGCAAGCAAAATATTGTACAGATAAATATATATTATTTGTATTACTACGTTTGTTTAGAGATATCAAATATGTTCAGCAAAGCTATACCTATATTAACGTAGTAAGTTATACAAAAACAATTTTCGTATAGAGAGAATTTGGTAAATAATTTCTGTACATAATATAATTGTATGGCTCGCAGTTACATTTCTAGGAAAGCAAAAATCGAAGTTGAGGTATTAAGTTATAAGATCAATTCTACAGTAGAATAAGCCAGGGTAAAGAACAAAATAACCCAATAAAAGCTACAGCTACAGGACAAACCTGTCCTCAGAGAGGGAGGGGATTGTTAGTAATAGGGTAACTAGTCTCCAACAATCTAATAGATCTCCACGGGGTCTCCATTAAAAATTGTCGTGGATAATACCTGCTGATTACTGTTAAGAGTGTAGTCACTGAGTTATAATGTTTTATCGTTAGAAATTTCCTCACGACTCATCTGTTCGGATACTCTTCTCGGCTGTTTGTTTTTCGGACTACTCTAACGCTGTTGGCCGCAGCTGGCCTTTATAGCTTCACCGGAGGATAGGGGGCGAGTGCGGATGGCACTCCAAACCCGCGGAAGGACTTTATGGAGCGGCTGAAGACCGGATACGACTTTAGTCTGAGGACACCGCTAGGGGTTCGAGCCTCGGCTCGGGCCGTCGTAATTTCGATCCCAATTTTGTTTGGACAGGGGATCAATGGGGCTGATAGAAAATTCGGAGGTGTCCCCTCGGTTGCTTCTGTATCGTCTTTTTAATCATCTCATCGTGATCTTTTGGCTTATTACTCCCAATACACCGGAAGTGATAACAGAACTAATATTGTTATTAAGACGGGAAATGATAACATCGGTCAACTGACTCATATGTGTTATATGTCATATGAGTTACTGCAGGCAGGTACACTATATATTAAAAAAAAAATATAGCGAGCTCAAAGATAAAATAGTATTGTTTTTTAGTCATAATAATAACAATTTTAATATTATCCTAAATTATTAAAATAAGATACAGATTAGTGATAAAAAAATTATAACATGAAGTGTACTCTGTGCAGAATTTGTTAGGTAGATATGTGTGGGTGATGGAATAAAATAATGTACAAGCTTTTGAAATTAGAGCCAACACATACACATCCATTCGTATGTTATTCAGGCATGTTTTATACAGAGCTTTTTTTAATCTAACCTATACAAATAAATAAAATTGAAGCGTCTGTTTAAAAATATCAGCTTTTCACTGAATACATTTAAGCATATATGGTACTGAAAAAAATTCTGTTAGTCTGTCTGCTAATCTCTGATTTGTTCTTGCTAATTTCTGAAACGGCTGAAGCGATTTTGACGGGACTTTGACTCACATATAGCTTATATTGTAAGGAGTAACGTAGACTACTTTTATTTTAGAAATCTTATTTATTTTAATAAATAAAAGGCAATTTCGTGGTAAGGTCGCGGTTAATAGCTAGTGTTAGCTAGTTATATGATTTATTCTAGATTCCACTAAAGAGAATATTTTGTTATTATGAGCCTGTACATAATATTTAATGCTGTTAAACCTGCAACTACTGTACTCTATTAATTGATTGATATGGGAGTTTCACATTTACCTGTTATAATTATATACTTATACTAGCTGACCCCGCAAACGTTGTTTTGGCATAAATTAAAATAGTTATTAAAATAGGGGTTGGTGATAGAAGGGTGAAAATTTAGGGTTGTATGTATTTTTCAATGCTAAATTATTAAATAAGTAAAAAAATTGTCCCAAAAATAAAATGAAAGGTGGACAACCCTTATCACTTAGAGTTATGATATATATATAGTAGCTGATTCACGGACCTACGTAGTATGCATATAAAATTTCATAAAAATCGGTTAAGCCGTTTCAGAGAAGTGTGGTAACTAACATTGTGACACGAGAATTTTATATATAAGATTAGACCTTAGGTATATTGCGGGTAAGTCTTAAATGGTATACCAGTTAGGGATGATCTATATTAGAAAAACACCGATGTCGTCATTCAAGTATAGATGTCAATATACCTCAATATATCCGTTTCCAAATCCAAATTTAGTTTAGGCCACTAACACTTTGTTCTTTTTTAAATTATGCCTATGTTTTTTTAAAGTATGTACGACCTCAATATATCCGCTTTAGTATTCCAACTTCGTGTAGGCCACTAATACTTGTTCTTTTTTTAAATTATGCCAGTGTTTTTATTTGCTAAGTTTAAATTTTCTTCTTAATAAATAAACTACACTTATTTCTGTCTTAGATTAGAGAGTAGAGCGAGAGAGAGATACGTACATAGAGTGCTTTTGCGATGTTTTTAATTTTTCTTTCTTATAAAATAGTTTCGTAAATGTCAGTCAAAGCAGACTATTTACAAAGAAGACAAGCTAAACTACAGTTATTTCATTCTAAATATGTAGATTAAAGAGAGACATAGACAGCTCGATTAAAATTATCATAGTGTACGCGATATTTATGCCAGTGCTTTCATATGCTAAATATTCTTCTTAAAAAATAATTTCGTAAATTATAGTCAAAGTAGACTATTTACAAAGAAGAAAAACTGCAGTTATTTCTTTCTAAATGTGTAGATTAGAGCGAGAGAGAGAGAGAGAGAGAGAGAGAGAGAGAGATACGTACATAGAGTGCTTTTGCGATGTTTTTAATTTTTGTTTCTTATAAAATAGTTTCGTAAATGACAGTCAAAGCAGACTATTTACCAATTTACGGCTCGATTAAATTAATTATACAGTACGCAATTATTATTTTCGCTATCATCAATTGGCATTTGGACAAACAAGAGTCATGACAAATAAAAATGATTTCGATTAACCTATTTACATCGCACACACGTGCCAATTGTTGCCTATTTTTAATACAAATTCACGCCTTTCCATCACTTCACCTTAATATTTAGACTAATGAATTAGTGCCAGTTGGTAGTTTTGTATTCACATTTCAATTTAAAAATATAAAGTTATGACTAAATTATTTAAAAGAGCAACATGGAATTTTCTTGCTCGTTCTTCTTGTGATGAATCAGCTTTCTGAATGAGGAGTAGATTAAAAAAAAGTGATGACTATTCAAAAGTGCTTAATTTCTGTTCTATTCTATTCTATTCTACTTCAACAGGGAATTACTATCTTAATAGGGGGGAAGGGATTCTTAGTAATTAACCCCATTGCTAACACCTTACTGTGTTCTCCATGTGATCCTCGCTGGAAATCATCATGGTTAATTCCTGGTGAATTCCTCACGATTAGTTAACTGGCCTAACTTCATGCTATCATCCTTATATATCATATAAGATCATCATTCACTGGTGCCCCACATGCGAATACAGTTAGCACAGGCGGGTACACCATATCCACCACCGTTATCGGCTATTAAAAACAATTTTAATAAATAAATATTATCTAACTCTGTCTCTCAAGTGCTTTTATGTAGTAGTGTATCTTATAACCCACTATGGGTTACTAAATCATCGTACCTACCACACTATCTTCTAAGAATATCCTTCAATTCTTTCATGTCCCTAACGGGCCAAGATAGTGAGCTCTAAAAGCGAGTATAATAGATCTATGCGGACCACAGTGCTACAGGTCTAAAGCACCGAGTAATAGTCTAAACATCTTATACTGAAACGTCGTAGGTTTATATTATTATGGTTACTTAAAATTACACGCAACTTTGTTGTTAATTTGATATTTCTTAATAAAAACTATAATGCAATGTAAAGGGTATTTATTGTATCAAATGAGGTGTACTTTTGCGGAAATCCATTTGTATACTCAATGGATTTATATTATTTTGTTTAATTCCACTGCTATTAGCATGTGTGAATTGTATATTTTTTGTAATTGTATAGATAATATTTAAGTTTTTGAAATAATTTTCATCAAGAAATTTTGAATATATAAATTAGGCCATTCTAATTTCATTGTTTTTACACTGTTTTTGTGGGGCACTTCTGACACAGCTGGACACATTTTTATATATAAAATTGTGTTTGGTTGTTTAACATTAAATTTGAAATATGTTGTTACAAAACGTAGTACTCTTACTAGGACGGATTTGGACCCTCTGTGAAATATGTTTGTTAAAAATTATGAAACGTATCAATTTCTTAATTTTTTTACATGAGTTTGTTATTCGTCCTAATCCTTATTATACATTGTCACTTAGTCGATCCACACATCCAATTAATGTATAACGTAATTTAAATAATAACCTAACCTATTTTATTGGCAACGTGACTCAGTATGTATACTAATAATGTTTTAGAAATAACGTTTTCCATTTTCCTACTTCGACCACTTTATTGCGTATCAGGAACACTGGTTTTTATTATGCACATTGTGGAATAAAAACTATAATTCCATCACATTTAAAATTAGTGTTCTTGTGGCTAAGTAATTGATATGTCTCACGTGAAACTGTGATGAAATCAAGAATGAATTATATTTACAGCATATATCCACTGTATATCCCGTACAATACTCAAGTATCTTAAAGACATAAAATAAAATACTCAAGCATAAAAGCAATTAACACTAAATATAAAAATGTATTTATTTATTTGAACAACTCTGAAAAGTTATTTATAAATAAGAATTGAAAATATTGAGTTAGGATCTATCTTATTAAACCTTTATAAATATCTTATCCCTTAAATTACCCTCTTCTAGGAATCGAGTGGAAAAAAGGGTTGCCTCTCAAATTTAGTGGTCTGTTATTGCATTTTCTGTTAAAAAGCGTACAGAAAAAGCTTATTAAGCAAAGCAATTTATTAAAGTAAAGAAGAGTAATAGCGCTTTAAAAATATAGATATTTAAAAAAAATATTAGAAGCTATATCTATGGTACATTCTTTTTTCAAAATTTTAATAAATATTGTATATTTCATCTGTGTACCTGTGCTCGTTGTGTGTGTTGCATGTCGATAAAAATAAAAAATTACTTACCTACCTGATGATTATGCCAGCGCAAAGAAAATTGTTGCATTTCGTCATCATCCATAGCGTCACAATAAAAAAAAGATATGGGAATGGTAATAAGAAAATAGCAAAGCGAAAGCAGTGTCACTCACTATTGAACGTAGCACGTACGGTCGAGACAATAATATTGTTAACCGAATCCAGACTACTTTATTTTCGTCTGTTCGCCTGGAAAACCTGTAGCCACCTATTTCTGGAGCTGAAACGTATTTATAAATCGAATGACATTCAGTCAGTGACGCGGCTCACATACCAAAACTCATCCAAAAACAGATTTAGTTCGATTGGCATCATTGTTTGACTGTTTGCACTAATTATCGAACGTTCACTATGAAACAATTTTTAATTGGCTCGTCCCAATTATGAACTATTAAACTATATTTATTCACCTCCTTATTCATACCTATACCACAGATAATATAATATTACATACTATTAGATAGATTTTACTTGAAAAAAAACGTCATATTTTGTTTGTTGATTATATCGCACTGTATAGATAAAAGTATTTAAAAAATGGTCAAGTATTTTTATTTACTTATTCATTACAATATATATAAATCTTTTCTTTTTAACAACGAAATTATATTATCTCAAATCAAGTGTAATAACTTTCCTTCAAGCCAGTGCTTTAAAGAAAAACAAAACAGAACACTATTGGAGAATAAAATAATATTCTATAATGTTTATGGAATATTAAATTCAAATAATTGTTTACTCCAAATGGTAAATTACTTAGATGTTTGATATCTTATTTAAAATCGACTTAGATTTCTTTATATTTTGCAAATTAAATGTGATTTTAAATTGTTATTTAATGGAATAGAATACTACCAAATATATTTAATGTACTCTATTTTGAAATTGTATTATTATAGAATAACCTATGTATATACTACCCGCCAGAAATTAAAATACCATCTCGGACACCTGCATCAATGGGGATGCTCCGCCATACGTTTTTTCAGAAACTATTTGACACTCAAAACCACAATGTAGAATTACCTTCCAGCAATGGTATTTCCAAACCGACACGATAACGTAACCTGCAAGTCTTATTTCTTCTTATAAGGTCGCTCGTGGGCGGCAGTCATCACGTACCATCAGGTGAGCCGCAGCATGGCTGTCTGCTATGCAATAAATATATAATTTATTAAACTCTCTAATAAATAGATCAACAATGTTGAAACAGTCAATTCATAATCCTACACCGACATGTGAAAAATTTAAGATGTTTTGGATTTAAGATTGTTTGGATGTATATCAATTAATCACACTTAATCAGTTGAATGTATTAAAAAAAAAATCTGACTGGTACATAGGCCATAGAGTATACTATTTATTATAATACGTCTACACAAAGTTAGTAATTCATTTTATGGTAATTGCGTAAGATTCTATAATAAACTACCAGAGTCTACGCTAAATCTTTCAGAGAGGCAATTCAAATCTTATATTAAACAAATGTTATGTAAAAAAGCCTATTATAAGATAGATGAATTTATAGATGATAGCAACGATTGATGATTATATTTGACCCAAAAAATTAGTGCTTGTTGGTAGTTTGTATTCACACGTTTCGACTTGTAAATGTAAACTTACAAGGATTATTTAAAAGAGCAACACACAAGTTTCTTGCTTGTTCTTCTTGTGATGAGACAGCTTTCCGAACGAGTGGTAGATAAAAAACAAATTGTTATGACTATTCAAAAGTGCTTAAATTAAGTTTATTTGAATAAATGATTTTCTATTCTATTCTATTCTAATAATATCTCAGGGAAGTTCACACAGCGCCATCTAGTCCCAAGCTGACCAGACCTTGTGCTGTAGGTAGGTACATTGATACATTTTTTTATAAATATATATTATACATAGAAAACACCCAAGAAGATACAAAGAATCGTACTAATGAATACAAATATTTGTATCGTGCGAGGAATCGAATCCGCGACCATTGGAAGGCGGTGTCCCTAGAGAACCGAAGCCGTCATCGTTATAATCATTAGATAGTATAGAATAAAGTCGCTGTCGTTGTCTGTTCGTCCCTATGTATGCTTAAATCTTTAAAACTAAGCAACGGATTTTGTAGCGGTTTTTTTTAATAGATAGGGTGATTCAAGAGGAAGGTTTATATATAATGCATGTACACCCGTACGAAGCCGGGGCGAGTAGCTAGTCTATGTATAAACTTGTTGCCCGAGGTCTCTAATAAAAAAATATAAGTTAAGTTTTAAACAATGATGAATACACCTACTGATTTACATATTTTACTACAATTCAGGTTTATTATAAATGCGAAAACAAAACTAATTGTCTATTTTTTATACCACGATGGTGGCAATCAAGCATTTCGCCCATCTAATGGTAAATAGTTAGCGTAGCCTATGAACGCTTAAAACATCATTTATTTGTTATATTTTGATATCCTTATTTCCTTGAGAAAGACAGACAACCTTATTTACGTTAGAATCAATTTTTCTAATTAGGTTTTGATAAGACGAGAGAAAAAAATGGCGGGTAATATATATTTCAAATTAACCAAAAATGTCTTTAGATTTAAGTGACATATTTCGTTGAGCTCTCTCTTTTTTTTTATTGAAAAGACTATCTGTCAATTTGCCTGTCAGTCAGCAGCAACAGTCGACAGCTGGTTAATGTTGTTTCGTTGATATTTTATTTGGAAACTTGACAAAATAGAATTATTCACCGTCTACTTTTTATTAAAATATGTAATGGAATGAATGTTTTGTTAGTTTAAATAAATATGTCATATGTCTTATTTTTTTAAAGATTGTTTCGTCGTATTTTTGTTTAGGTATATCCTAAAGAATTTTAACTTATATTGCAGTTCCATGACGTAATGTTTTTTATTAATTTATAGCCGTACGTAGGTTCCTAATCTAAAAAATAAAAAATATTTTTTGGCGGGAATATATTTTTGTCATATACTTATTCAATCATATATTATGATCAAAACAAAAACTATCAAAACCTATATATACTAATAAAAATACACTTATTTAAAATTTTCATTTACTATATCTGATAAATGCAAACACCAATAAGACAACATACATATATTAATTTATTGCTTTTTTATTATTTAATTTATGGCTGAATATAGAAGTTCCTTAACCTGAAAAAATAGAATATATTTTTAAGACGTGAACTTGGCGGGTAATTAAATTTAAATTTTATGGAATCTAGGTATATAACATAGTTATTGGGGCATAATAGGCAAAATTTGCCAAAAAAAAACATAGTTATTATTTTGCTTAGTAGGATCCGTGCAGTTTATTTTAAAAACATTACATTTTCATCAGAAAAATGAATTCACACGTTACTTATTCTGAATATTTGGCTGATCCAGACATTTTCGAAAGATATAAAGATACAATTGAAACTCATTTATCCGAAATGAAGAAGATAGCCGACAAAATCAATCGAATGCGAGGTAAGAATAGGTTGAATCATATTTCATGTTTATTAGTAATGTAAGAAGTGGAGATTATTTTAAAAATAAACTTATTGGATAAAATGTATATCGAGACAAATTTAGTATAGATTTCAAATGTCTTTTTATACTACTTTCTATAAAAAATATGCCGGTACGAGGTAGGTAAATTATGTTTTCTTCAGCTGCCAAGCAGCTTGCTTTGTAAGATGTGTTTCAGTTGGAAGATAATGTATGGCATTGAAATTACAGGGTATTTTATTTTAGTATTTACGTATACCTTTAGTATTTATATGTGTATGTTGTAAATTTATATTATTAGATGTGTACTTCTAAATTTACCTATAATCTTTATCCTGTTTGCCACTTTTTGTTTTTTTCTTTTGCTAAGTCTCTAAAAACATGTTACGGCTTTCTCAAGTAATGTTCTGTTGATTTAATGTATTGGATTGTAAGCTGTTGGTTTTCCAATACATAAATAAATATATTTTGTATTGGTATATTACCTATTTCTGTTTCTATAGTACCTACGCCACCTACATTTTCTTTACTCATCTTCCGAGTCGTCTATAAGAGATTGCTTTAAGCGATAAGCCCGGCTTTTGTGTATAGTTAGTACATTTATGTAAAGTTATCTTTTTGTAAATGTTTTTCTGTGCGCAACAAAGTGTTGTATTATTATTATTCTTATATAAATTTTGTTTTCTATTTTTTGTTCTTAGTTTAGTTTTATAATATTTAAATATTTAACCATATGTAGTTCACTGTGTCAGCACTTGTCTCACCTAGGGTGGGCGGGTCTCGAGGAGGATTTTCCTACAAGTAAAAAAAAATGTTGATTAAGGTACCTTTACGTTGAGTGTCAGTTTGTTTACGACTTCAGTTCAAAATTATTAAATTCTCAACTGGTGCCTATTTTCAGGCGAATCTTTAGGTTGTTCGTTATTCAAAGCCCTAAAAGTCATTACATTCGCCATTGCTGAATTGCGGAACCCTAAAACAGAAGCTGACAATAAACATCCAAAGAGCTCCGCAATACGAATTGATGCGCAACAGGTGCTGTCCAATGATGCCAGATTACGGAGATTTCCCCAAATTATGGGAAGGATATTGTGGTGATAGGAAATGTCAGAGAGGATTTGTGGTTGTGTGGGAGAAAGTTGAAGTTGAGGGTTGCGAAGTATTAATAATACGCGATGATAGATTAAAAATATCTGAATATAAGCTTGAGTGCTTAAAATATTAATAGGAAAATATTTAAGTGATGAGATATGTGATTGTATTGAGAAAATATATTTGATTGCTTCTAGCAATAATCCAGCTTTATTGTAATTGTACATGTGTTCCTTAACGTTAATGTCTTTTGTTAAATGTATATTGTAAATAAAGTATAATCTATCTATCTAATATTTGAGGGGAAAGTGAACTATTTGATATGCGGTCACAGACTAAAGTAATTGAACAAAAGCTTGCGGGTCCAAACAAATAAAACCACAGCAGACTAATGGTATGCTGGCGTAATTATTACAAATAAACCTAAACTGTGAAGCATTAGCTGACAAAATAAATAGTATAAAAATGACATACTAAAGAAAAATAAGAACAATATATCTAATAACTTTAACGGATTAGACTTTCTTTATAGGGGTGATTTTTCTTCAACAATTTAATTTATAACTTGTCGCCCAATGGTCGA